ATCCTTGTTAATGTTTGAAACACTAGATATGATTACCCAGATTTAGAAGATGATTGTAGTGAGAGTAGGTAGCAGGTGAAGGAAAGCTTTCAGAGGTGGAGGTATGCTCTGAGAAAAGAATGAAAGTAAAAGCAAGAGGGGGAGATGGGTGTAACAATGAAGCTGCAGGGAGCAGAGGAAATGAAGGTGGATGAGTGAAAATACCTGGAGTCAGCTATCAAAAGCAGAGAGAGAGGTGAAGCAGTGGGTGGAGATGAGTGTCAGGGGTGATTTGTGACAGAAAGATAGCAGCAAGAATGGGAGCAAAGGTTTAAAAAATGGCAGCGTGACCTTTTATGATGTGTGGCTTGGAGACGGTGGCACTGACGAAAAGACAGAGAGCTGAGATTGAGACGTAAAGCTCCTCACTGGACATGATTAAGAATGAGTCCATCGCAGGGACAACTCAGAGTCAGACAGCTGAGATGGTTTGCACATGTGCAGGGGAGGGCGAGAGGATGTTGAAGATGGAGCCGCCGTGAAGGAGGAAAAGAGAAGGTGCAGGGATGTAGTGAAGGAGGACATGCAGAGGGTTGGTGTGACAGAGGAGGATGCTGGGATAGGTTGAGATGGAGGCAGATGAACCACGGTGGGGATTCTTAAAGGGAGCAGCTGAAAGAAGACAAAATGACAAAAGTCTAAACTTAATAAAATATTCCATATATGAAACTCTTCTTTGTTGCATGGCTACAGACTGGCTTTGATCCTGCGCTACACCAGGGCTGCCTTGGTGATCCAGAAGACTTATCGTATGATGGTGGTCAGGCAGCTATTTTTCATGATCCGACACGCCACCGTCACCATCCAGGCATTCACCAGGGGGATGCTGGAGCGCCGCAGATACAGACTGGTCAGCGTTTAGTGTCTCCCTCATTACAGGGCACAGCAGATGTTTAAAAAATGGCATCAACCTTTATACTTGGGTTTGATTTATTTTCCTGTGTAAATATGTTTTATCCATGTTTGCTCTAATCTTAAAAGAGGCTATTTACACGCAATTACAAGTTATAAACACTTGACCTGAATGCATTTAAAACCCTGTTGGTTCCTCAGCTGGTGGCAGAGAGGGCGGCTGTGCTGCTCCAGGCCACGGTGCGTGGGTGGTTGGCGAGGCAGGGGTACAGGCGCGTACGTGCGGCGGTCGTGTTCATGCAGTGCTGCATTCGCCGCAAGGCTGCCAGGAGACAGCTGCTGAAACTGAAGTCTGAGGCCCGCTCTGTGGAGAGATACAGAGAGCTCAACAAAGGCATGGAGGTCAAACTGATGCAGCTGCAGTTGAAAGCAGACCAGGAGGTGGGTGAGAGTTGTGCAGGGATTTGACCATCTCATGTGATTTTGATAAGCATTAAATAATTGTATGAGTCAAGAGGTCGTTTCACTTTACATTCACATGGCAAAGTTGCTTTTGTGTGCATCCAGGCCAGGGAGAGCGCTGCTTTGAGAGAAACCCTAATGGCAGAGCGAGAGGCTTCCAGCGCCGAGCTGGCGGCTCTGAGGGCAACGATACAAAAACTAGAGAGGCAGTTACAGGAGAAGCCTCCGCCTGGGCCTGTTATCAGCGAAAAGGAGGCAGAGGAGAGAAGAAGAGCTGAAGAGAAAGCTGCCCAGGAGATCCTCCAGCTTAAAGAAGTAGGTCTCCAAACAATAAACACACTTTCCTCCTTTTATCTAGTAGGGAATGCTTCTGATTTGGTCTGTTTATTGACTTTGATTCTTTAAGGAGCTGCAAGCACTACAGAAAGAAAGGGAGAGTTTTTGCAAAGAGAGAGACGATCTCTCGGCTTCCCTGCTGGAACAAGAAGAAAAACAAGAAGGTGGGCCTTCCCTTTACTAGCATTGTACAGTCACAGCTGTTTTTCTTCTGTCTGTGTCTGTCAAACATTTCCTTCTCTCTCTATGTGCAGAGTGTGTGCATCAGGCTGTGTCTCAGGTGACCTCGGCTCTTCGGGTAGAGGTGGACGAGGAGAGGAGAAAGTATCAGGGTCTCCTGAGAGAGTTCACCAGACTGGAGCAGAGATATGACAACCTCAGGGAGATGAGTCTGCTCACAGAGGTCATTAGCTAGCTGCAAAGGGAGACAGCCTTAAATGCAATTTGTTCGTTTGAAAATTAATCTTGAGTGCTTCCTGTAATTTCTTCCTCCTCATGTCGCAGCGCACCAAAGGCCACAGAAGAACCGACTCCACCCAGAGTCTGGAACCTCTCTCTCCCTCGACGCCGCTGTCCCCCCAGTCTCTCACCCCACTCTCCATATCACCATTCCCATCTGCTGTTCCATCCCCAGAGGAGGTCCGCAGGATCAGCGTGACGTCCCCCTCTGCAGAGAAGAGAGTCTCAATGTGGAGCTCTGAAGCCTCAATGGTAATGAAATAAAGAGGACCACACGACTGAAGTCCTAACTTTCACATCGTCACTGCAGCATCACCAGCACAGGCAGTGTCCTTTACTATCTCACTGTGTTCATGTTTGTAATGACAGGAGCAGCTGATGGAGAAGATGGACGTGGCCAAAGACCCATCGGTGAAGATGAAGGGAGAAGATCTGGCTCATGCTTATGATGCTGTACGAGTGGCAAACAAGTCAGTCTCTCAACACCAACTCATTCCTTCATTTTGGCAGAGCACTAGCTTTCAGTTTTGTGCAGTGATTTATATTTGGTGGATGAGCTCATTATTAGTTATTCTGTCCTTAATCTACATGTCTGTGTGTGTGTGTGTGTTTCAGGTTTCTGGAGAGCCAGCTACGTAACCAGTGCAGTCAGTGGGAGAAGGAACTGGAAACTCTGAGGAGTCAGCTTGCCCAAGCGGTGTCTGTTTCTTCCTCTGCTGCACAGAGACAGGTATAAATTTATTAAAGCCCCACATGAGAGGGTTTTTTTAAAAAAAAAAAAAGTACTTTAATGATCTTTAATGAAAGCCTAACACTAGGAGAAGGGCTGGAAAAATCAATAAAAGGAGAGGTTAAAAAAAGAGAAGAAGTTAAAACAGAAAACATTGCCTAAAGCAGGGGTGGGGGAACTCCAGGTCTGAAGGGCCAGTGTCCTGCAGGTTTTACATGAGTCCTTAATCCAACACAGCTGATTGAAATGCCTAAATGACCTCCTTAACATGTCTTGAAGTTCTCCAGAGGCCTGGTAATGAACTAATCATTTGATTCAGGTGTGTTGACCCAGGGTGAGATCTAAAACCTGCAGGACACCGGGCCTTCAGGCCTGGAGTTCCCCAGCCCCGGTCTAAATAGTCACGGCAGGACATTTCACTGGTATCATTACTCAGGTCATAATAAAACTGTAAGAGTTCTCTGGATCTGATGGTTGTCACTTATTAAAGCTGTCCATCTGTAACGTTTATCATTTATTCATTCGTCACTGTTTGCGTGTCACTTTGTTTCAGATCATCGTTTATAATGTTTATATATTCACATTGAGGCTGAAGTCACAAATTTAAATGTGTTTTTTAAAGGATGTTCAGGAGCTGCTGGAAGCCCGAGAGCGTGAATGTGTGAGGCTGAGGAGAGAGCTGAAGGAACTGAGAAACACAGTCTCACTGAGGCGACTCCTGACACAAGGTGAGACTTTACCTGAATGAGCCCGGAAGTTGAAAGTCACTGCAGGCTGGAAAAAAATCTGCAGCCGCTGAGTCTCCTGTGGAGTTTTAAAACAAAAAACATCAATGCAACAATAGCCTAACATAGGCTCCCTCACTGGGCCTATGACTGGCGGCTCTATCACTGATTTGATTTGTGTACATTTTGATCATGAGACTTTATTACCAATGGTAAATGAACACTTATTATTAGAGTAATATAATTACAATAATCTGCCTCTCAGTTTAACAATCTTCTACATTTATAGTTTTCAATGTGCTGTTTTCTGTTTCACTGCCACGGCGTGTTCCCTCTTCAGTTTTCCCATCAGCTTTGGCCACAGAGACTTCCTCTCCTGCCCAGTCGAAGCCAGCAGCAGTTACTGGTTTACTGGAATGTAGAAAAAGAGACGAAACCAAACTGATCAAGAATCTCGTCACAGGTGAGATCAACTCCCCGTCTGCCTCAATCATCTTCACCCACCTCTTTTTCTCTTCTTTCTTGAAGGTTTGAGGAGCTGTGAAGCAGGCGTTTAAGATGAGGGATGAGATTGAAAACATGTTTTGAAAGGCAATAATCAAGCACTTTTACAATGATGGTAAAATGTGTCAAAATGTAATTTGGAGGGCAGGGTTTGAATGTGTAATAAATCAGCGGTAAGTATGATGTATGTAGAAATAATTGTAGCCAGCTCTTTAAGCTGACAGCATTGCCCTGGCCTTGTCCTCTCTCTGCCACTGCTTCCCTTTCTGTTTGTGCTTCAGACATCCGTGTTGACAGCGCCCTGTCTTTGGCTCCCGGTCTGCCTGCCAGCGTGCTCTTCCTGTGTGTCCGCCAGGCCGACTGCAGCGGGGACCAAGCTCGCGCTCGCTCTCTTTGTAGCGCTGCTGTCACCGCTATGAAGGCAGCTCTGAAGGTGACCTGATCTCTGAGCCTTCTCGGTGTGCCGTATGGTTGAAGTTTAATGTTTGAGGACGGTTCACGTCGAGTCAGGCAGGCAGCCATTTACAAAATGACACTGACAGCTGACTTTGAAACTTGTCCTTGTGATTAATTTGGCCCACATGAGCATCTCATGCCAACGTAACCATAACAAAGTCTGTTTTAAACACATCTGTTCAAACAATCACAGTTTCATTTTTCATTGTTAGCAATGATTTCTAATTAAAATGTAACCATTTTCCCATTCATCGTTTTTCTGCAGAAACATGTCAGTGACATAGACATGTCTGCTCTGTGGTTGAAGAACATCTGTCTGTTCCACGACTTGTTGACCCAGCACTCCCCAAAGCAGGCAGGCTCAGCTTTCATTTACTTTCTACGTCACTGACTAGATTATAAAAGTTTAGGATTCACTGATTACTTTCACACGTGACTGGACTGATTGCTTTTCAGACCCTCGACTCAGACACACTGGTTCCCCTGTCTGCTGATATGAATGACTTGAGCCGCACCCTGAGCGACCTCTCTATCCAGGCCTATCAGCAGCTCCTTTCCATCACCGAGACCCGTCTACAAAACATCATAGGTACTGCAAAAAGTGATGATTGACGCTCTCCCCTTCTCTGCTCCTCTTATCTATTTTCTAACCCTCCCCTCCCTCAGTCCCTGCCCTGTTGGAGAGCGAAACCATCCAAGGTCTATCAGGCTCAGCGGTGAAGCTGGCAGTGAGCAGGAAGCGGGCCGGCTCAGACCCCAGGACTGTAGGAGGCGAGGCTCCCACGATGGCGTCTGTGCTGAGGGAGCTCGGAGCCCTTCACACCGCTCTGACTCAACAAGCTCTGCCCAAGACCCTGATGGAGCAAGCCTTTCACCAGCTCACCTACCTCATCTGTGCCTCTGCTTTTAACAGCCTGCTGCTGAGGAAGGACATGTGCAGCTGGAGTCGTGGCCTGCAAATACGGTAGAAACACACTTTAACCCTGCACTTAGATTTACAGTCTGACATGAGATGCAAATAAAGACGCAGACCATAAACATATTCCGCATTAACTAGTATATCTTGATTTTGAAGTCCATAAATTTTAAAAAATTAAATGACCTCAATTTGTTTGTATCTCAGTTGTGTGATCTAAAATGAGGTTAAGTTGTTTTCAGATTAGCATTTAGCATGTAAAGGCCAAATAAAGGAAATTTGAAAGGAGATTTTTCAGCGCTCTTGTTAAATAAAGAGAAGCTGTAGCCCACAGCAGCCTAGATCTACTGCAGAGATGAATGTCATATGTATAATACAGCATCCCCACAAACACAGCTTCAACTTTAATAATCAGCACCCTGAAAGAGTGTCAACATTAATTTCGCCTTTGTTGTATTCCAGAGCTAGATCACGTGCTGCACAACAGTCTGCATGCTGTTCTTTCCACCTCCTTTGTGTGGTCTTATAGAAATAAACACGGATTTATCTCAAATCCTTTTCTTGTCACAGCTACAATGTGAGCGTCCTGGAGGAGTGGCTGCGGGGCCGCGGTTTACAGGCAGGGGGCGCTGTGGCCACACTAGAGCCCCTCATCCAGGCAGTGCAGCTGCTGCAGGTGGGGAAAAAGACCGAGGCGGATGCTCAGGGGATCGTCCGGACTTGCAGTGCCTTGTCCAGCCAGCAGGTGGGTCTGTTTGTCTACTTGGATTCTGCTGGGAGACGAACGTGTGTGCATGATTTCATTGGCTGCTGGTCTCTTATTTTGTTTGACAGATCGTGAAGATTCTGACCCTCTACACCCCCCACAGCGATCTGGATGAAAGAGTCACTCTGAATTTCATACGTTCTGTTCAGGTACAGTCTGCAGATGTAAGGTTAAACATGTTCCTCGTGTGGAAAATACACTGCATCCCATGTTCCTGTCTGTCTTTGCTGTCCTAGGGGCTTCTCAAAGGCCGCTCTAACAGTCAGCCTTCACAGCTCCTAATGGATGTGAGGAGAGTGTTTCCTGTCATATTCCTCTACTCGCCTCCCCCCGTCCTCAGCGCGGAGCAGTTAGTCATCCCAGACTCCCTCAAGATCTCCTTTCTGCGCAAAGCATAAGAAGCAGGATGCAAATTTATTAATGCTCCAGTGAATTTAACTCCTAACTTGCTGAAGTTATTCCTTGGAAATTGAAATGACTTACTGAGAATTTCTCCTTTCAGACTTTTAAAATGTGCATTAACTTGTTTAATTAGGCTGTCATCGGTGTAGTCTGTATCTTATAGAAGGTTGCGAGTTATTTCAGAAAGGTACATCTTGGAAAAATAACTAAAATGGCATGAAAGAGAGCACGTGGTAAAGACCTGGATAAAATTAAATCAATATAACTAAATAAAACTAAATGTGGCTATTCCTTTGAACAGTTTGACAAAGAATGACCACGGGCTTTTATTTCATATTTTATTGGAAGCAGAAACACAATGAGACTGCAGTCCCAGCAACCTCAACCCCCAATAAGAACAACCATAATAATAATAATAATAATAATAAAAAACAAGCCCAAAAGAAAGAATCTTTAGAAACATCTCGTGTATAAAAAAATTCTCATGCGAGTACTTTGTACCACTACACAGCATCAGTAATACATATTTATATATTCACAAACATTTGAAAAATAGAAAACGATAATTAAATATCAAAATAAAGACGACAACAATTGGCAGTTAAACATCAAATAATTATGCGTGCTGGCACAATACACGTTTTTTTACTTTTTGTTTATTGTTCCTATCATGCACCGTATCTGGAAGTACCGGACCAGCAGCGCTGTGCAGGTATCTGTCTGTGTGGCCTGCTCAGCGAGACACTTCAGGACGGATCATGCATGTGTGTCCACTTGTGTCTGTGTGCTTTTCGTTGTGCTTCATCCACCTCTGTGTGTGCGTTCCTGTTCAACGTGCCAACCTGATAATCCAACACGCAGTCCGGGCCTCTGAAGGTGGAGGAAGGGGAAGAATTTCCTCTCCTAAAGTATCATTGTCAACAGCAATAAAGTTTTTGTTTTTTTTCGTGGCATTTCCAGCTGCGTACCTGTTTTTGATTTTGCTATTAAAAGTAGATGTGCCCTCTTAATAAAAGACCTTGTACACACACAAGATCATATTAAGGGATTGCTTAACTTTTAGCTGTGAGTAGTTTTCACTAGCAGGCAGCATGTTATATATAATGATATACGATGCATTACTTTAATGGGGCCTGATCAGGAGCCATTCAAAGTAATACAGACGCTCTGTTATTGATCTCTAGAGTGCACGCGGTCTTTCTATACCCTTCAATAGTAGCTACATTTCCAGATTGGGCACCCAGTCGCACATAAACACCAGCTGTGCAGTCACTCGCAGCAAAATTCAAGTCTACAAAAGAGCAGCGAAACTTCACTTCACATAGTATGACGTGTTTGTTACATCCGAGCTATTTACAACTACCCGACCGCAGCGATCGATCTCCCTCCCGATCGGTTTCCTCTGAGCTGACCAAACTTCCCGTCTCTGGTCAGCTCTACCGCAGCTGTGATGTTTGGCCCATCAAAACAGAGACGGCATTTACAACATATCAGACAAACGCTTGTGCTGATATAATTAGAATAATAATCCACAATGTAAACATTATAAGACTGATTCCAAATCACTCATCTACAGAGACTTTATAGATCAGATGCATAGAGTTCAGTTTGTAGGCCTTGTTCTAATAATGGGGACTTTGATATTATTCAGGTTTGGGAGGGGGCATCTTAGTAATGAGGCAGAAAAACATCCAACCAACCGATCATCCTGTTATTATCATCACCCCCATGATTTCTTTGTTCACGAGAAAACAACAAATATATTCTTTTTTTTAAAGGGTATTTTCTTAAAAATAGATGTCGCATTGAGAGACATGTTAGACAGCGAGCAGTCGTTTTAAAACATTTCGTTTCACATGAAAGTGACCGTAGCTTCAGGTGAACTGCTGTAAAACAAGCTCAGAGTATAAATGTGTTTTTATGTGTAGCAAAGCCCCTGTGCTTCTTCAATTTTCACACTACATCTCTGTACTGTGGACAGTAGGCCCTCTTTTAAATGTCACATCCAGACCTGGCTCGGTCTGGATCTGCAGCCCTTTAGCAGAGGTCTCGTTTCTCACTCACGATTAAGGGTTACGGCATCTGCAGGTGGATCATTAGACGCGATAAGCGCTGGATCATTAGCGGTATGTGCTCTCCCCGTGTTGGGGAATGTGCTGTTGTGTAACCCACGTGGTTATTTTAGCTTCTCAGGGACTGTGTTTTTAATAATCTAATTATACATGTAGGACTTTAATTACCACGTACTTTTTAAAGGCAGTTGACTGTCCTTACAGAGCTGCCTGGCTGAGGAATGTTTGCAGTAAACCAGATGGAAATATCCGCAGCACAATATAACCTTGGTCTGTGCTAAATTAAACAAACTGAACGAAACAATAAAAATCCCCCGAATCTTATCGCACTCCCGCTCCACCCGTTGTGACGTCCTTCACTTGTGATGGCTTTCAGTGATTACATCTGCAGGTGACAGACAACACGGGCGGTCACACGAGGTTGACATTAGAACGTATTACAAACACTGGATCGCACATTCACACTCATTTTCACACACATACAGTCCGATGATTTACAGCGCTTGATCATCAGGCTCCGCTCTCTATCATATAGGAAACAGGACATACATAATGTGCAAGGGTTTACAAGACGGAAGGCATTAAGGGTGTCAGGCAGTGTGCTCTGTTACAGGGTAGACGGACAGAGAGACGGACGAGGACAATCTTTAGCCGACCACAGTTCCATCGAACAATCCTGTATTTATCTTTACATATGTCCTTAATAGTTTATATATATATATGTGATGATATATAGAATTATTAAAATATAGATATAATCTGGAAGAAAAAAGTAAATAAATATTAAACTCATCATAACTAAATAGTGCTTTGTTCCCTGTATGTGTTCCCCACCCAATATCTGGAATGTTTGAGGCTGCAGCCGTTGTAGTTGTTTATGGGTCAGGTGGACAGTTGGTCCGGTTGTGCTTAGGGCTGGTCTTGGCATATTTGAGCAATTCCTTGTTGGCACTTGCGGTCCCTTCTCTAAGTGGTTGCAAACTAGGGAAGGGACGAGAGGAGCTGGGGATCGGTAAAGTTGAGGGTAAGGTTAAAAAGGCAGAGAAAGAGTGAGAAAGAAAGCCAAAATATTAAAGGCTACAAGATATTTCTCACTCTGACCAGTCAAGTGAGGTGTGCGTGGGATGGCATGGCTCTCCTCTGGGATTAGAGGAAAGTAGTTATATGCTCTAAGATTAAACTCTATGTATAACTGAATCAAAAACATGTTTGATGAAGTCAGTAACAATAAAGACACTGGTGCGTTTTCAGAAAACGAGTGATGCTTTGCTTCGCACTCTGTCATTTCCACTGAAATAAATGTATTTACAGTATGTGTGGCGACTCTTGTCTTATGTGTGCTTTTACAACACTGGATAATCGGGGCAGTGGCTTGCAGTGGCTCAGGAGAGCTCCTGGGCAGATACTCTGATCTGATTCGAGTTCCTGACGTGGCATTTTAAACTGCGATTTGGCCCCCTAGCTACGGCCCTCCTCAGCAGAGCGCTGGTCGGACTTGAGCTTGACGAACTCCTTGGCCACGTCGTCGTTGTTGCGCTGGGAGAGGATGCGCAGGACGGTCAGTCCCGTCTCATCCATGTGGATGCGTTTACCCAGCGGCAGCCAGCAGGCGGCGCTGCCCTTAGGGGCCACGTCCTTCAGCTGAAGGACAGCCATGCCCACGGTGCGGTCCTCTCGAGCAAAGCAGTAGTCCTTCACGCACACCTGCAGCTCGTAGCACTCAGGACCCACCTCATTACTCAGGGTGCTGCAGAGTGGGGCGATGGAGAATATTACAAAAATCTCTCGAAACAATCCCTCAAATTATCGATGCACATCAACCACTTACAAAGTGAAGGTCTCGTTGTATTTGGGAGCCCAGCTGTTGTTCTTTGACTTCGTGGCGTACTTCCTCTTTTTGTCACTGAGGTGAGGGCCGATGATATAGACCTCCACAAAAGGCCGGAATATTCCCTGCGTCTGCCACCTCAGGTCATTTGCAGCGACCACTGAAACAGACAGAAAGACAGAGCTAAAGGAAGGAAAGAGAGCGGGAAGGTGTGGGTGACTGTGAGATTCGTGTGGAGAAAATGTGTGAAAAAGTGGAGCGGTGAGCGAGGGCGAGTGAACAGGAAACTCAGACAATACTGGCTCTCCCTCGGGCCTCACATTCAGTTTATGGTCAAGATAATGAAAATAGAATTGGAAGAGTATTCATTACAAAATCATGTTTTTCTATGGCAGATGAAAGCTAGAGCTATATTCTGGTGCCCTGTTATGGCCATACAGTCCTTCCCGCGGGGTCTAGCAATGTTTAAATGTTAAACTATGACTTGAATGTTATTTCCAGAAATACCCTCAGATTCAGTCCCAATAAATGTGAAAACAACAAAGATACAAAATATTTTTGCTCACCTTTCACCGTGACTTTGTGCTCTCCGGTGTTCGGGTGAGTGAAAATCTCCACATGGATGGACACTTCTCCTACAGCATCGTCCACCCCAGAGCCTGACGGGACAGGACAAAGAGTAAAAGTGCCATTAATACCCTCGAGTCTCCCAATCTCCACTGTGCTAATGTCGCAGCCGCTGTGCCCTCTATTTCGAATTCTCCTCCATAATTTAATTTAAAAAAAGTTACACTTCCATTTCAGTTTCACAAAAGAAACAACGAAATGGACTCAGTTATAACCTGGTGAATATAAAGCAGAGTACTGACTATTCAAATGTTTCTTTATAAAATAATAGCGTTTAAAATAAAGCACAGAGTTCTGCTTGTGCATATGTTGTGGTCTGGAAGTGGACATTCAGACAAAGCAGCTATGAGTGGGCATATGTGTTTAATACCGGTAGTGTATAATAATAACAATAAGCCTGCAATAGCTGTATTATCTCCTTTGGTAATGCATTCTACGTTATGATTAAACCTGAGCGACTGAGAGGCAATCACTGTGGTAACTGTTGCCCACTCATAGATGCAAAGTGTCTGTTAGGATGCGGGGTGGTTAGTAAGAGGCAGAGAAGAAGACAGGAGAGAAGCTGGAGAAGGTCAGCTAACGGTGTGGATCCCCCCCCCCCACCGACACAGATCATGTCTGGGCATGCTCAGATGGATACACCCATTCCTTGGTAAAGTCTTTTACCCAAGCATGGTCAAGAGGAGGGCCAAGAGAGGGAGGGACCACGTGGAGGGAGAAGCAGCTCGGCCTCCCCGGCCCGTCGGTATAGGATGACACTATTGATGCCTGACTGCTTTAATAAAGCTTTCTGCAAGAAGAGCGAATAGAAGATTTTTCATATTTTCTGCTCTTTTGTCCTTTTAATGTCTATATTTCCATTCTTGAAGAGAGATTGCTCTTATTTCTCCTTGTTTAGTTTTTTCATCATTTAATGTAAGTTTATGGATCGAGAGCGACCCACACCCTCATAACTGACCGCTCAGATGTTTCCTGGTTAAACTCAGTCATTTCATTGCATTTCAATCAAACATCAAAGTCATTTAACTGTTTCATCTCTACGCTACGCCAGACCTGGGCTTGTTTGGGGTCCTTGGAGTTCTACTTTTTGCCTGAGGAAGAAGATGACAAGTCTAGATGGCTTTCACCAGGCTCTAACACCTTTGTCTGGGAGGGAGGATGATGATCTTTCCTTGTGCCGCATGTGAACAAGCGGTTTATATCCACGTACAACTCCAGAAGGATACAGTGACAGATGGACATTCATTTTCAGTGTTTTAATTAGCGTCTTCGCTCTGTCAACGGTATCTTTGTGGCGACGACCAGCAGCCTGTGTGTTTGTGTTTTTAACCAGCCGCCCACTAAACAAGGTGTCTGTGGGAGTTAGACGGCAGAGTGTTCCTGGCACGCGGCTCTCTGCATCTCTCAGGGGAGCATTATGGGATTGCTGGTTTCACTGCCAACAGGACCAAAGAGAGCAGCAGTCATCCATCTGGCCTTGTCTACTCAGTAGAGGACATCCATGAGAGATGAGAAAGAAACTTTTCTGGCTGGGAGGCAGGAAGATGTTGCCAGGAAAAAGCAGCCCCTTTCTTCGTTAACAAACACAGCAATCAGAGGCACATTTTGCACCATATTGCAAAACGTCACCAAAATAGCTATTAAATCTCAGAATTGTACTTTAAATGTGCCAAAGCATCGCCTGAGTTTGCCACTTATTCACAAATGAGTTGATTATTTTAACCGCAAATATCGGCGCTCACAGCCAGCAGCACGCGAGACCGACCGACAGCGCTGATCAAAGACTCTTTCAGCTGCGAGTAAATTCCACTGAGCTTTGGTCATTCATCCTGCTCTAATCATCCACTCTAATATGGTTGGAGAAACTACTCAGTGAAATCTGTTTGACAGGGAGTTAATTTGCTTCCTTGTTACAGTCAGGGACATCCACCAGCTGGCAGGAAGGCGAAAGATACGCTTCTTTGCTGCTTGTTTATTCAATCTCAAATAGATGATTTTCCATAAAACTTGCAAAAAGGAGCATTTGAATTATTTCCAGTCATACTTCATCAGAACTAAAAAGCTGGTGTCACCATTTTGAACAGGTAAAGGATGAGAAAGTGAGATTCAGCTCAGTCAGACAATCAAACTTGAGAACACACCAGTTCAGAGCAACACTTCAAAATCTCAACTATTCCAACAAAATTCATTTGCTAGTGTTTGTTGGTAGTGGATACCTTTCACAGTTAGGCATTAATCTGCATAAAAATCTACTTTGAATGCTTTTCTTTCCTTACACATTTCCATCTTTGGTCTCTTTCCAGAGGAAAGTGACACAACTTGACGTGTAACAGACTGCAGTGTTAACAATGTCATATTGAGCCGCTCATCTGAGATGACTGTCGGGGTGCTAGGGCTTGCGCAGCACCAGATCATCATCGAAGCATCAAATTAAACGGCGAAGCCAAGTGCACACACAAACAGCAGAATGCATATGTCTCTGTGTGAGCGTGTATGAACATACCGCATCTGAGAGCAAGTCAGACTCTTTTATTCTGATCTAAAGAGACGGAAATCAGACCACCTGACCAGATGGACTGTTTGTGATTGGCTAGATCTGTTAAGGGGAGACGAGCTGAGAACCCTTTCCCATCACTGCTTTGGGGAGGGTGGCGCTGCGTGTGGAAGCTGACTGGGTGTTTCCATCTCTGCCTGCTTTTGGATGCGATCGCAGGGTAGGGAAGGACAGAGAGCCCTCCCAGACAAACTAAGCCAACAGCCATCATCATCTTCATAATAATCCTACTCTTCCTCTTCAAGCATCTGCCATTTCAAACACAGTGGGAGGGACAGTGACATTGTAAAAAAAGATTTCCTCCCAGTGTTTCTGGAAATAAATAATTGCTTCTACAACCTGAGGACAGACTCATCAGATTGCACACACACACACACACACACACACACACACACACACACACACACACACACACACAGAGCCCCCTGGCTTCTCTGGGTGACATCATGCTGCATCAGAATTCCTCCACGCTTTAATGCATTTCTATTATATTTGTCTGATGTCCGCGCATCATGCGTCGTGTCTGCTCATACATACTGTCCACGGCGTATGTATTCAGCGCAGTTCTGTACATACAGACATCAGTGTGTACGTTTCATGCATGAATGCATAAAGTTACCATTCTTGCTGTGGTGGTGGGCATGTATGTGTGTTCAAAAAGGCAGAGAGTGTGTTCAGTCTGTGCATTGCATTTGTCTGTTGGGATGAATCTGAGCAGGCAGGACAGTTTCAGGATGCACATGGGGGGGTGGGGGTGGGGGTGGGTGAAAAGGTGGAGGTTGCTGGGCTTTGTTCTGGAGGCTCTCTGGTGGTCCTTGGTGTCTCAGAGCCTCAGCCTGAGTGCCACATACCCTTTTCTGGGTAAACATCCTCACTAGTGGTGAATCTCACCCCCTTCCCGCCGAACACTGTCCCACAGACGGGGCAGGAGGTGGGAGTAGACAGAGAAAGGAGACACACGAAGAAATATGAGGTTTGCAGAGAGTTTCACAATTACAGAGTAGAAAACAGACCAACATGTAAAAAGCATTTTCCCTGATTTGTTGGGGAAATTGAGCTACTTCTACCAAATAAGCAGTGAAAAAACTGTGTCTTGCAACATCAAAAGCCACATGGCATTAGTTAAAAAATTCAATTTTAAATGATTATCCACTCAAAAGGCATTTCTACCAGTGCTCGGGGACTATGTGTGAGCGTCTGATGGCAGAAACGGGATGGCTGTTACACAGCTATGTGACAGGAGGACGGAGGCTGAGCAGCAGCATCAAAGAGAAGGAAAACAGAGTGGGTAGGTATTTATTTTTTCATTGCAAATAGCTGTCAGATCATCTACAGAATAGTGGCTGCAGTTCCAGAAGCTCGCTATCAGGAGACTCAGTATTTCAGGACAGTGAGAAATATTGTGCTGTTGCAGTCTCAATTTTACGCTCTACGAGGCACGTGAGATACTTTGAGCGTATAGAAACTTGGCATTTGGGAAAACCTTAACATCAACAGAGGGGGCAGCGAGAGGGGCTCCTCCGAGAGTGTGAGCGAAGAAGGAATACATTTCCCTTCCTCAGAGAATTATGTAAGATGCTGTAGGTAGTTAAGCTCATACTTAACAACTGAAGATACTGGAAGGTAAAGCAAATTCAAAGCCCCTCAGACACAGACAGATTTGTACGTTACCTTGAGCGTTCTGCGATTGGACAAAGGTCTTTATGAGTTTGTCTGTGGCCTGCGTGTAAAGGGACAGGGCGTAGTGGAGAGACTGAAGGTCAGGACTCTTCTCCAGGAATGTCTTCTTCAGACCCACACCACCAGCATGGAAATATTGCTGTCACATAAAAGGGCGGGGAAAAAAACATTTTACCAACATCTTCCGACCAGCAGCTGACTGAAGAAATAAAAGGGCACAAATAATTATAAACACAGCAGAGTGATCATCAGCGAATCCTGACATTCCCACAGTCACACATGAATCCAACACTAAACCAGTCAATACTGACAACTGCAGATAACAATTCAAAACGCTTCTATGATGTGCAAATTAGAGCCCCCGTAGAGCTTTAAACAATCGTTTTAACATTTGGTGCTATGTGGGTGCCTGTGTTATCTTGGGAAAATGCTTTGGGAGTGAAATTGTGTTATTTTTCTTTTATTAATTCATCCTAAAGGGATAAAAAAAAAACTCATTTCCTGGTCCCAAACTCTGGGTTTTAAGACTGTACATTTATGAATTCTTGTTTCCTGAAACGCTTGCACTGATAATAAAGAGAATATTCAATGTTTAATCACTGAAAATGAAAGTGAATCTCTACCTTGATGGTGTCGAGAGCCAACTCTATCACAGCACACTGCTTGGGTGTTAGCGCTTTGGCCTCCTCACGAACCATGTGCTCCTAAAGACACCAGCGGGAGAGGCATAAAGCAAAATGACCAATATGTCCCCCTCATATGCTCTTCCTCATATTTTCTAAGCAATTAGAGACTCAGTCCGAAGCACTGGTGCCGGGCCCAGAGCGTAAGTGTAGCAGAAACATATTGTACCTTCAGCTTGGACAGCTGTCCGAGCTCCTTGGCAGCGTTAAAGATGAGCTGAGTGCCCTGGAAGAGACAGAAAGGCAGAAGGAGGAACAAGAAAGGTAGACAAGCAGAGAGAAAGAGAGAGAGAGAGGAGCGCTGTTATTATCGGGACAAAACAACGGCGGTGGTAAATGGCTTAGTGTCACACAGAGGACAGCGACGTTTCTGACACACACATTCATAAACAGTCACTCTGAACCGCTTTACAGGTGTCACGGTACATTTTCCTTCAAGTGCTGTTATCACACTTATCTGTCTTTTAATCATTCCAAAACATTACACACAAACACTACAAGGAGAAGGGAAAGTGGTTCAGCTCGTAGTAAGGGCAGGAAAATAGACATATTTGTGCACTCAAATGCACACAGACACACTCACTCTCCCTCTCTCTCACACACACACACACACACACACACACACACACATACATATCTAGCAGCTATAAAGCTTCACCGTGGTGTGTGCTGGTATTTATTGGTCCAGCCTATTGCAGTACTCTTGTAAGAAGATGTATCCTAAGTACTGCTGACTGTAATTACAAATACGGTTTTGAAAGTTTACCAAAACCAACTGTAGTTTTGTATTCTTTCAAATAATGCAATAAAAAAAGAATAGCAGAAAAGTTTCAGGAAGAGCTTTATTAGCAAATAACAGAGTGCACTTCTGAAACTGTGGGGAAGCAACAGGGAAGAATAATCCAGCATCCCTCCACTGCTACTCTATGCTAAACTGTCAGTCGTGCAGATAGATGTGCCTTTGGTTGCAGGGGCTGCTGTGATGAATATACTTTTTTACCCTGCAAGCTTGGCTTCCCTTTGATTTGGCTGTGAAGCTAAACCACACTCTGTTGTCTTTTTGGTTTTTTGCACATAGCCAGCCAGGTCTGAGTCAAATTAAGTGACTGCTGAACACACTGACTTTCTGTGTTTAAGTCACAAATGTCTACATCCAATAGAGGTATGTTTACAGCACACTATAAAAAGCACTATGTAGATAGTGAAAAAAACAATATTTCCACTGCTTTGTTTGACTGAGGGAGAGAGACATAGACATGGAGAGAAGACGTGGAGGAGAGAGACAAGACACATTGATCTAAAGGGGTTTAGTCCTTACATCGCTGTGAGAAGCACTCTTCAGCCTCCCCTGGAAAGAGAGCATGTGGTTAATACTTCAAGCAGTGGCCAGTCCCTGCTGTCTGACTTCACGCTCACTGGCTGCATAAGAGCGTGCAATCAAAAGCTCAGACGTTGCTTTAAAAATGTTAACGAATGTTGGAAAAACCCTCGTCAGTTTTTTCAGTTTATTTCTTTTTTTGATCGATTGCCAATCCAACATTAGGAGAGTAAATGCTTTGACTGCACTCTGTTCACTTATGATTATTGCAGAGATATTGTTTGCATGTGGTCTGATATTTCAGCCAGGCCACTCGTAACCTGTTTGCATGCAATCCAAAGCAAAAACAGTGCCAGGAAGCATGAAAGAATGGAAAAATCTAAATGTATCTTAGCACGTAATAGTTTCCATTAAAGAAATGTAATATAACATCTTGGTCAAAGTTAAAATAAAAATTGTACCTAGGCGAAACATATGCATACTCTCTTTACTGCACAATAAGAAATTCATTTTCTGGCTATCAATCACAGCACACGAACATTTTACCTGCATGAAAAATACAGGGCGCTCAGTCACGTGAACAAAGTCACAGACTAAAATTGGGCTTATCATGAAAGAAATCGTTTTACAATATTTAGATTTATGCACAAATTGAACAGGATGGTGCTAGTGAGTTTTAGGTGTGATGGCAGGCCGATAGTTTTACCAGTTTCTTAGTGGAATCACTGAAAGATAATATTTTCAATAATTATGCAGCATTAAAGCTCTGTGCAGTAACTTCCATCCAAAGAACAATTTTAGAGTCTGCATCTTTATGATGTTAAACCAGCTTCTCTTAAATAATTTATTGGAAGTTACCAGAGATCAGAATGAATAACTTGACATTAAAATAAATGTTTTCATACATCTTTAGGCTGTCAGCATCAGAAAGTGAAATATTTGGTCCTAAGACATTAAGAAAACAAACCGTGTACCTCGTTTGCACAACCTAAACCCAAGAAATAGCATTGAGACTATTTATAAAAACACAATGACAGTAATTATAGCAACAACAGAACACGAAACCAAACCAGAAGAGACCAACAGGACAGGTCCGCAGAGACATACAGTGCACTACAGTGTCGTACAGGATACTGAGAGAAGACTGCAGTGTTGAAATAGATCAGATGCAAGCAACAAACCCACAGTAGGGGGTAGGAAGGCAGGACACAGTTCAAACAGGTAGGAAAGGTGGGGACAGTGGGGTGAGAGGATTGGAAAGGGCGGAAAAGGGGTGCTGGAGTTTGGTCGGGACAGTAGATACCAAGCTACCGAGAGATCAGTCACCTCACCGGGGTCCCCATAAAAGGGCGCAATGCATGAGAAGAAACAAGCCAAACCCAGGCACAACAGAGGAGAGGAGTACCATTTCCTGTTTGAGGAGAGCGTTCATGAAGAAGAGACAGCAGAAAAGGGAGAGGGGGCTAATCGGTGAAGATTGCTGAGGGGTGGGGTGGGACCTATTAGAACTAGTTAGGAATGCACCATGCTCCTGTCTTCTCAAACGAGAGACAGACTTGGAGGAGAGAAGAGAAAAGAGGAGACATGAGACAGATCAAAGAGGTGAGGTCGTGAGAAGGCAGACGGTGTGATGTGGGGTAAAAACAGGGGAAGATCGCAGCCACATATAGCAGAGAAATTGACCACCGTGGACTGACAGACAGACAAACACACAGGAGTGCTGTACTTACAATCATCTGTGGAGGGAGAGCGGTGGGAGCAGGATGTAATAGTAATCACAACAACAACAACCAGAGAGAAGGGTCAGTCAAGCTGCAAAGAGCCCCACATCAATCAAAATCACAAGTTTGGGCCCCAGGCCTGGAGGGACGTGGAGCAACTGACACCTGTTTAGAGCCTGGACTAAGCACAGGTAGAGAACTGAGCAGGCAGCCATAACACCTAAGCTAACTCGTTACAGCATCAACTCTTTGCTCATAAAGCAAATACGAGGTTTAACTTTCAGCAGCTTCACATGAAGAGTGTCGCTGTGGGTGTGATCGTGCAGCTTTGGCGCACATTAAACTCTGCGTCCTGTGACTGAAGGTCACAGTAACCACAGATTATCACTTTATTATCAGTGATATGAGGCTCTTTAGTTAATAACCAAACAGAAATAACACATATACCAAAAACAAACAAAAGAAGAGCGGCTGCTTTCCAAAATGTATCATTCTTTTCAGAAGTGGGTCGGATCCTTTAGGCTAACATTTTTATGCAACTCTGATGTGAGTTACTCATAAATCAGGAATCTCTCCAAACAACTGACATACTGGAGAGCAGCCATGAGCTGGTGCAGGAATGATATGGTGCAGTCCTTTTTTTTCTTTTTCTTTTTAAGGGTTTCGTCTGGATTGTTTGGATGAACGAAGGCACCTGCAGGGCAATGCTGCATATACTGCGTGTAGGGGGGGTGAGCAGAGGGTAGGATGTAGATGTGATGCAAAAACTGTTTGATCTTTTGCTTAGGCATGGGCCATGTTGGATTGCAACACACACAAAATGTCTGCATTTGTTTTCCCTTCTCTCGTTCTCCACCTCCTTCTTCTTTCTTTCTGTCCTTTGATGTTGCCTTGGCAGTAACAGGTGTAAGTAGAACGTACTTGTGCACGTGTAGGCCTTATATACTGCAGGGGTCACCATATGAACATGTAATATCTTCATTTATATTGCTATAAACATCCGCAAGGACTTCAAATAATCATTAAACATTTTGTAAAGAGATGATAGCGATGGATATGTGTACATGTCTCTTTCGTCTACACAAATTAGCCAAGAAAACATCTCTAAATATGTCTATTTTGTGTGTTTGTATGTTCTTTTGTGCATTTATACTTCTATGCGCTCTTACCGTTTGGTCTGTGAGCGGTGGCAGAACGATGGTCTTCTCCATGGTGTTCATCACCAGCTTCCACAGCTCCTTCAACACACGTTTCAGCACAGTCTTTTCACAGATCTTAGCAAACAAAGTCAGGCTGGCAGGAGGAGGGAGAGACACAAGTAAGAAAGAGACGTAAGTATTAAGCAGCAGAGGGGAAAAGACACAGTCTACCTGAAGAAAAATCGGATCATCAAAAGAAAAAGAGGTAATATGAAAAAGAGAAATACCTTCATGAGGGAAAAAAACGCTCAGAAAAGCAGAAAATTTGGGGAAATTTCAATATTTTTCATTCATTCACGGGCAAATAACATTTCCAAGTCATTCCTACAAAAACAAGGGTGGTTGTGGCATCCTATTATTGCACCACAGTTAAATTCAGTGAACTCTTAAGAAACCGTTAATTCATAAATGTTTGTAAAGACAGCGTGCACGGCTAGGTGATGGATTGTACACTGTACACCTGTGGGAATCGGACTGAAAACACCCAAATTCAAAGAGTAAAAGATACGGACTAATACTTTTATCCATATATCGTATAACCACAACCAACAAAGCCAAAGATTCAAACAATCACATCAGTGTATTCACTGGTAATCCCTGAAAGATGAAAGCTCAGTCTCCAGAGTGTTTTAAAGGTCAGTTTTTTTCTACTCTTTCATCTTGATTATGTTATTGTGCAGGAATATCTCCAGCTCTAGCCACGAGCATCGTTACCCTACCCACCTACTGTTCAAATCTTCTATCTACAAGTCAATCAGGCAGTCAGTCAGAAGAAACTTGCTTCCAAATAGGGAATCATTTTAAGCTAAAGATTGGCTCACTTGCTGTCCAGGAACTCCATGATTGGCTGCAGGACATTGTCAGCATCCTGGGCCACGCTGCTGGCATTTCCCACATTTGAGGTTCCCTTAACCTGAGCCAAGATGTCTCCCATCTGCTTAACATTTTCCTCAATATGAGGCTGGAAACTACAGAGGATGAAAGGGAGAAGCGTTTAAGAGACTGCATCTGTAGCGTTCATTTGCATATGAATATGTGTGAGCGTGTTCCCACCTGACAGCAAAGACCCTGCTGAGATCATCCATGACATTGTTGAGTTTGACTTGCAGGTCTTTCAGGATATCACTAGCTTCAACACACAGCTAAAATGCCACAATAAAAACACACAAACTCACTCAGCTGTTTGGGTTGACTGGCGGCTGTGTGATAGGATAATAATAACACATGGCTGATATACTAGCATTAGGAACTATGTCTGAATAATTAAACAGTCTAAGTTTTGGCTGTTTGCGAGTGGAGAAGAGTCGCTCACATCTTTTCCACCCATGGCTTCAAACATCTTCTCCAGCTGCACCCTCAGCTGCTGGATGTTGTTGATCAGGATGCAGGGCTAAAAGGAAGCGGACACATGCGCATGTTTTTATGTTTATTCCAAAAGTTGGCTTTCGGTTTTTGGCAAACAGAATAAAATGAGACCATCTGTGGAAAAACCACATTGGGTCATTATGTCTTTGGCCACTCACCACTTTCTCCATGGTGACATAGTTGGCAAACAGCTTTGATATGATGTCAGCATAGGACAGAAGCACATTGCTGATGGTCTGGAGAAGAAAACAACAAAGGAAATTTTTTTTTTTTCTGCTCTTGTGTAAAGTGTCCTTGGGTTTCTTAAAGGGCGCTATACAAATCAAAGTTCTTCTTATTATTATTGTTATTATAAAAAATGTTGTAACATGTACAGAAAAAAAATTGAAGACCTCGGTCTTGCATTTTTATTTTGTAACCTGCAAATGACATTTTCACTGCATCTACCTTGGCGAAGCGCTTCATGTAGTGTCCTACAATCTGCGGATCTGGGCACTCTAACTTCCTGATGATCTCAAAGCTCTGGTTGAGCTGGGAAAAGACATCCACAACCGAACAGGAGAACAGAGCATGCTCCGATGTGACCTGGAACTGCAGGGCAGAAAAGATACGCGGGAAGATTAAAAACTGGGGGAAATTAAAGGAGAAAAAGTCACAAGAAGGGGATGAGTAAGGTTGCAGGTGAGATTGTGTGCCCGTCTAAGACCATACAGACAGACCATTAGATGCTTTATTAAACTGGACCTTTGATATATTTCACTGCCTGTACAGAGACTCTGACCTCTCAGAGCCAGCCGTACAGACAGTTAGACAGCCATCCAGTGACAGGTGGGAGCTCCTGTCTGTCTCCTTGTAATTGGCTGCTGGTTACCGCCTGGTCCTTAATTGGCTAGAGGTGAGTAGGTGCTACTCCAGGGAGTCAGGGTAATGAGTTGAGGACAGCTTTTCTGCAGTCAAACCTTTGGAATAAGGCCATTAATTTACAATGTCCTGCTGTAACAGAATCATCTTTGGCTTTAAGCATATGCAAGTCACGGGCACTCTTTTTGAAAACTTCCCAAGAATCTGCACTGCTGAGTCCATGCTTTCTATTTCAGTCTTTGAAGAATGCAGGGGAGACAGGAGAACGTGTGGGAGGCGGGGCGGGAGTGGGGAAGAAACTTTGGATGATAACTCTGAGTGTGGCAGAGGAAGTACAAAGGATGGATTACAATAATTCTGCTTGAATAACAACAGCGACTCAGCGCTTCAAGAGGGCTGAAGGAGAGATAAGGAGGAAGGGAGCTGGAAACGTTTACCCCATCTTTTTTGTCTCTTTCCAAAGCACCGTGCAGAAAGTCACGAGACACTTCTTCGTTTTCATCCAGCCACTGGATGACAAATGGCTCAAACCACCTACGGGGAGCAACAATTTAGATATTTGCAAACTAAATTCGAGCATTTCAAAAATGGATTCTATAATTCTTTTTCACCGGATGCGTCTGTTTCTACAAAACAAGATGCTACTCACGCAGGATATTCAGGCACTCTGCTCTTGAAGAAGGGCAGGTCCTTGCAGTACTCGTTGTACAGCCACTTGACCTTGAAGTGCAGGTTCATGTAATCTGCACTCTTGCACAGGCGGTTTTTTTCATGCTCTGTGAAAAAGAGAAAACACGTATTTCCAGGACTGTTTAGGCGGCCAGCATTTCCTGCAGCTCTGTTATGCACAGAGAAACTGAAAAACTGACACTTTACAGATCATTTTATAGAATAAATAGTTTTAAAATACACAAACATGATTCCAGTCATGCTTGGATAGAGCCAAATCCTCTTTTTGTCTTATCAGAAACTTTATTTTTATGCATAAATACTTTTTTAAAATATCAGATAAAAAATATGCATGCTAGAAATCAGAATATGCATATCACAAGATCTACCAAAATTAATATATTTTGCTTCATTGTTTGAAAAAATGAGATCTTTGCTCTCAGCAGCGGTACTGGAAGATTTAAATCAGGCAGGCAGTTAGTCAGCAAGAACAGCTGCTTGTCATGGAGCACACATTCAGTGTGTGTGTGTGTGTGTGTGTGTGTGTGTGTGTGTGTGTGTGTGTGTGTGTGTGTGTGTGTGTGTGTGTGTGTGTGTGGGCGTATGTGTTTTAATGATTAAAATGGTTTTTTGGTTTTGGAGGATGTAGATAGCCACGAGTGGAATAACTGGATCATTTTATTGCTAATACAAAAACAAAACTTGCGTATAGTGTTTGTATGACTGTAACATTCAAGAGAGTTTAATATAATAGGTGGCTTTTTAATATCCATTTGTATATACTGAGTGGGAGTCCAGCTATGGCCAATAACCAGTGAGCTGAACTACCAGCAGCCAATAGTTAAACAAAAGCACAGACGTTTAATTAAATTCTCTGAATATTAACTGGATTCTTTTCTTTTCTGTGTTTTTGTATGCTCGCTACTTTTAAGACTACAGCACAATACTAACTGTATTATCGGTTTTTACTCACCTTCCATTGCATACTTCATATCCTGAGCAAATAAGTTCCACATAACTTCCGCGCTGATTTTACCCACATTGAGCTCCTGAGGGAATCTGGATGCAGAAGGAGAACATGTAACCGGGAAAGCTGACGAGAGCCTCAGAGTGCAGTTTTAATGGCACTATGAGAAACTGTGGATAACTACATAACATTAAAATGTCATTAAACCCATTCTGTTTAAATTTGTACAAGGAAACAAAGCAAACACAAAGGTAGAACGGCCGTGTAGAAAACTTAGAGACATACTGATTTAGGCAAGGAGTGTAAGAGTTCTTGTCTTCCTCAATGATTGAGACGATAAGTGTGATAAACTTGGACCAGAAGTCGAGGTTTTTGATGCTGGGTCCTTGCTCCTCTGGGGGCACAGCACCCTGCTTGGCCTGGGAAAGCAACAACATGAGTGGCGTTATAATGACTCATGACAATGGCTTTCTGAGGTTTACCTGCTATCATTGCCCCTTTTGGCTGAAAAATCTGCACATAAGTGAATTTTGATCAGTGAAACGGTTTTTAAAGCCGTACAACAGGATGTCCAGAGTCGTGTAATTGTGTAATCTTAATGTGAATTTTACCAATAATATTTCTGTCGTCTGCAACGGGGAGACGTTTTTGGAGGGAAATCTCGACTGCGTTGTTAACTCAACAACTCATACATATTAAACACTTGCTGCTCAAACAGCTTTAAACAGACTGCGAATGTCAACTGTCTGGTCGACTTCTTTGAAACAGCTGAAGATGTGCTGAGAAAAAACAAAACAAAACACTGAGCTGGCTGCTGCAGGGTTTGAAGAGTGAAGAATGATCTTGCAGAGATTTCAACAAAATATAGCAAAGTCCCTCAGGATGAAATGTTTTATTCAAAGAGAAAAAAATGCTTATTTGAAATTCACGGGGAAGTCAGAATTGGGCTTGGTGCTTTAATGAGGGCTCAAAGCAAGTTCTAGAAATCGCTGTTGGAATCGGCTACAGGAGTGACGGATGGAAGAGCCTGGCTTCACCAGACTAAGACACGGACTTACCGTGCACACACACACACACACACACACACAAACCTACAACATGCACACAAGTGTCTACATATGGAATGAGGACAAAACTGAAATCCTTTTTGTATTAGAAATGTAAAAATGTAAATATTATTCTCTTTGTAGTGATCACTTCTGGGTAAAACCGCTGATTTTGATCACTAAAGTTGTACTTCCACCTGTAATTCAATCAGCTGATGAGTTTCTAAAACTTTAAGCTTTTTCCCCTGCTTTGATTTTACTTTGTTTTCACACAAAGAAAACTCCAAGCGAAGCAAAACGTGTCGCTACAAACCGCATGAGAAAGTTCAGTCTGCTTGTTGGCCAGATGTGCAAGAGGAACAATAGAAAAGGAAGGAAGAAGACGCAGTATTCTGAGCTACAGGATAACTTTGCAATGTCACTTCTTCCAATTCTTTAAAGTTTGTGTACTCTGCAGGCTTATGGTACTCTGCTACATCCCAGGAAGCAAAGCATGCCTGACTATCAGAAGGCAAACGCACAGCATACATTCAGTGGTTGGGTCAGATCATGTTCCCACCATAAACGAATCAGTCTGAAGTTCATTTGGAACTGGATCGAGACCGCCTCCTCGAATGCGTCTGTGGTAGATTCACTGCAAGTGCAATTACCCTGCTCGTGTCTGCAGAAGCGAACCGCACCAAGACGGAAAATGAACCAGAATTCAATTTAAGCAGACTTAATGGTGCAGGTGTGAAGGCGCTGAGATTGTGGTTGGGCTGTCATTATTCCCGGCATTTTGCTTAAGGGAAACTGAACCGGACAGAAGTTAAATGTAAGCAAAACGATCATCAGTCACTGGAAATCTACAGCAAAAATTCCAAAGGAAACCTCAATGCCTTTTGCCACTGAATGAAATATACCAAGTTTATGTGTTTTGCTTGGTAACGACCAGAAGCTAAGAACGATATCAACTAAAAACAGATCAAGTTTGTCCAAAACCAAACAAGAACCAAGGAAAAAATGGACTAAACAAATAAACCAAATAAACAAATCATAATTCAGCACTTTTTGTTTCTATAATTTGCTGTAAGCAGATGTAACAATGAGAATTTTTAACAAAGATTAAACTCAAAGACCGTTGATGTACCTTTAAGTAAATAAAAAATGAACAAATGCAGATACCATCACCATCACACCTGAACATCTGCACTTTTCTAACTGTTTGATTCTGTATGTTCTGAAGTCCAGTACATGTACGCATGCATGGTGTGCTAACAAGGCTTTACTTTTTTGTACTTTATTATGTTTATGCCAAAAAATATCAATTCAAAGTTGATTTTTTTGACAAAGATGGAAAAAGAAAAACATTCACTGACACACACACAGACATTCAGCCCATCACTGCTGCTTCTTACCGGGTCTGCCTGATACTCGCGACTGTAGAGCTCATGGCAGTTATTAAAGATGTATTCATAGGTGGAGTTGAGACAGGCTTTGACACAGTCCTTCACTACCTGACTGGCTCTGGGTGGCGACTGGAGCTCTTGGACCTAAACGCAGGCACAAAAATCAGACATGCAGTGACTGGATCATTCATTTGAGCTCACATTTGAAATGATGAATTTATTACAGCTGCAGAAGATAGTTAAAGTTTGGCAACAGTGCTCTCCCAAATATGCAACATAGAAGACTGGAGTAGTGAAAATAAAAATCTCCCTGGAGCCTTCACGTGGGAGGTGGGAGAGTTGAAAGATCAGGCAGTGATGCAGGGCAGCAGCACTGACACGTCAGGGGGAAAAATGGGATATTCTGCAGCTTAAATAGACGATGTGAGGAAAGCAGAGTTGGTTTGCAGAATTCTCTCCATTTCTGCTTCTGAAGAAAAGCCTTAAATCCAACTCAGCACCAAGCTTTAGGATAAAAATGGAAGAGAAAGAGACTATACCTTCATTCTGAAGAAGGTTATACTGGTGAGCAGATCCACTGTGGACTTGAGGTCCTGCAGTCTCTCAGGACTGCTGGCCGGGAAGTTGTTCTGCAATCGGGCCAAAAAAAGGAAAGAAATCAGAAACGGCGAGCCACAGTACATGAATTCACATCTGTGCTTGTCCAGTTTTTTGCATCTGTGGGCATGATCCAGCATGGTCAATCTTCACTGGCAGCAAGCCCTGTTCTGACTGTGTGGGCGTACATGGTTTCCCCAATGTGTCTGTGCACGTTTCCGATGAGCTGTCAATCTAATTAACACATTTGCCTCCTCAAATTGCTTCTGATAAAGAGAGACGTGCAAGGACGCAGAGAATCATTAGTTATAAGCCAGAAGAAATTATATAAGAGTAACTTACCCGGTACATGGACAGGTCGATCCTCAGAGAGTTATGAAGCTGATCGAGGAGCTTGACAAATCGCTCTTTCTGTGGGTAATAAAAGAAATGTGCTAATAGATTCTGTGATTAAACATAATGAAGATAAAGAGGACACGACAAAGGGAAATAACAGAGAAACTATGCCATTGCGAGAGTTAGGGGAAAATTAGTATATAAAACTATTTAATTAATAAAAGTATGACATCTAACTTTATCGATCCAGCTAAATGTTGACTCACCCCAAAATTAGAAGCAGCAAAGCGGTCAGAGGCAGAGACATTGTTGGTTGCCTGGGTGGTGTGGGCGTAGTAGGCATTGATGTTTGCCAGCAGGGTACTCATCACTGCAGGCACACCTGGGCACATGTACTTAGATGACAAGCAGGCAAAATGGCTGCAAATGAGAGGAGGACAGGCAAATGTTAGATTTTTATCTAAACAATCTACGATTGTGCCTGAACACATGGGTCTTTCTTATTAACGGTGACGTTCTGGAGTCGGGCAGTCAGCCGGGAACCTACGTCATAGCCTGGTAGATGGACTCGACTCCATAACGCATGGCAAACTCATCTACGATTTCCTGGGGAGTTTCCTCAAAGTACACTTTCCATGCATCATCCCCTTTGGCATCAGGAATCTTCACCACACCATTATTCTGGATGTCCGTCACATAATGGAAGAGATTCTAAGGAAAAGAAAGCAGAAGGCGTCGTGAGTGAAATAAAAGAGAAAAAAGGCTTGAAAAAATTCAAACAGTTATCACTCGTTTGTAAACAGTTCAGCCATTAAGACAGAGTGCGCTATAACCTCACAAGCTGTTGTGTCTGTTGGCTCTGCTGCATAAAGAGCCATAAACCCACATTATGAGGCCAACACAAGGTGCTGTCTCATCCATAAAACCTTACACCACTGTAAAATATTCTGAGTGGGTTTATGGGCACTTGAGAGGCAGTAACAGTGCCCATTTGTCAGTTAAGGTCAGCTAATGTGCTGTGAGTAATGGACTGAGTAATGACTCCATACAAAGTTGGGACTGGTCTACAATCAATCAGCAGAATTTTCTGCACGAACCCAGAGCAGAAACGTGTGTGTGTGATGCCTCTATCTTTACCTTTATCCAGAGTACTAACTCAAGTTTAATGGGTCAGTTATGAAAGTGAACATCAGTCAAGCAAATTAACTAGTTTAGCTTGGCTCATTTAAGACAGCTTCACACACACATATTCATAAACGCAGGCCGCGAAAACAACATTAGACACTTATAACAAAAGCTAATTTTGTTTGTCAAAGATTCCTGTAAACCTAGCGTAACAGTTTCAGTCAGCGCATAGCAAATAAAGAGAAGCGGTTCATTTTGACTCGCATTTAAACGACTGCTGTCTCTTTACACCGCAGACACGACTATGTGCAGAAAACAGTCAGTGTGAACGTCATGCCTTACCTGCTAAAATTAGTTGACATTTTTAGGCAGCCCGTTATGTGGAAAAAAACGATATTTGTCTATGATGCACAAACGGCGGACGAAGGATAATCTGACAAAATGCGCCCTTCTAAAAACAAAGCGGTTGAGAAGCATTCACCCTCTTTAAATGCATGTTCACTCACAGATAAAAAGCGAGTTTACCTCGTGCAGACAGGTGTACTGAACGTGATACGGAGCAACCGTTTCCTCGCCTTTGATCTCTACACTTATGTGCATGCGGATGGCCCCAGACACAGCGGATTTGTCAGTACGTTTGTCTGTGAAGAGCGCAAAACACACAGAAACACAGTCACCAGGTCTGGGTTGGAAAGAAATGATGGGTGATGAGATCCAGTATATTAAACGGGGCAGTGTACGGAGATAGAGGAGTCGTGCCAATTCAACTGACCCAGATTATACCAGACGTCCATCTCTCCGCTCAGAGTGCGGACCTCGATGATGGTTTGACCGAGGAAGTCGTCGGACTCTCGTTTGAACTTCTGCTTCACACGAGACTTAATGTCATCATCTTCATCCCACACTCGCACCTTGATGCGGTCTGAAGAGTTGTGACATTCACTGCAAAGACCAAACCGGAGAGTGAGCCAAATATACTAGGTAAACTGGCAGTTAGACAAGAAGGGCAGATTACTAGGGTGACTCGTACGTATCATATTCTTCAAGCGTAAACAGAAATCACCAGCCTTAAAAATAGACCTTGTTTATTTAACCTCCTAGGATCTGGCATCCACATATGTGGACATCACATTTTGGATTGTCCAGACCAAAATACTAAATTTTGCTCTACAAGAGCCTGATATTCACTTACGAGGACATTATACTGCCACTGCTCTATCAAAATTTAAAACTAATGTCTTCATATGTGGATCTCATTTTTCTCAGAACCAAAAATCAAGTAAAAAAATAAAAAAATCACAGAATTCTTTGTTTTTGCAGTTATCAGGTCCCAATCAGCCCAAACAGCAAAGAGAAATTAAAAGAGTTTGGGTCTTAGGAGGTTAATTAACAGTAACCATTAGGGATGGGTATCGTTTAGGTTTTATCCGATACCGGTGCCAAATCGGTACTTTTGAAACGGTGCCGGTGCTCAAACGGTGCTCAAACCGGTGCTTAAAGAATGGAGAACACAAAATTGGTCCAAAAACCTCTCATGTTCAGCTGTTTTTTGGTAAAAAGATAACAATGTTAGTCTTTTCTGCAGCTATGAGGCATATATGGTATCACTCTTGGCTGGAAGCAGTGCTTAAACAATGGAAAAAACACAAACTTTGTCCTAAACCTCTCATGTTTAACTGTTTTCCACTTTTTCTTTGGTCATTTTAGCCTTTTTAGCCAGGGTGAAGGGAGTATCTGCCATCAAACAAGAGGACAGCCGCATGTAGCTATGATGATGTTTGCTAGTTCACCTTACATGCATTAATGTAATAACGTGGTTAGCCTACTCAACGTAAATTAGCTACTCACGCAGAGAAGAACGGCTGCTGCCACCATCATCCGTCATCATTTCTGCTACACTGGCAGGGCTAGGGGCCAGGACTCTCCTCTTCGTGTTTTTGGGGGATGTTGCATAACAGGCAACCCACCCCGAATGTGCCGGTGTGAGGTCTCGCAGCAAGCTATCAAATACGGCGCATTTCTGGGCTTTTAAAAAAAACGCTATGCGTCGCCAGGTGTTTCATCGGATTTGAGGTGTTACCTCCTTTGACAGTATCACAGTATCAGCTTAAAGCACTTGTTAGGCTGCTGAGTTTGCATTTTTGCTGTGAAGTACAGCCAGACTTTTGACCGCTTCGCCTTGGACATTTTTAATCTGTAGCTCTGCTCTAAAAGAACGTACGTACCTGGCCCCGCCTACTATCCTCGGAAACGTAAAATGATTGGCTAGTTAAGTGTATCACAGCTCAGGAAAAAAAAGCACCGAAATAAAGCACCGAAATGTGTGCTGCTTTTCGGTCTGGTTACTACCGTTTATGGCACCGGACACCGGTACCCATCCCTAGTAACCATACAAAAAAGCCAATGACTCACAAATTAAATGTCTCCTCCCAGACGGGGTTGAGGTTGCCATAGATGGTCTTGGTCCTCTTTTTCGTCTTTCCAACCTGGACGGTTACATACGGATCACTGGAACCAGTTTTATCCTTGGCTTGTAGACCCTGGGCACACAACACTAGGAAGAAGGAAAAAAAAGCCAAGCTGGTAAGGCCAGTGGGTTTATGCAGCGGTCCCCAACCCCCGGGCCTCGGACCGGTACCCGTGCTTGGTACCGGCCCGTGAGCTCATTGAATGTAGTTTTGCGAGGTCCAACCCGCCTCGAGGCCGTGATCGTTGCCGGGAGAGTTGAGGCTCAGGTGTGAAATGTATGGTTTTCAGGGTTTTTATCAGTTTTCAGCTTATTTTGTTATCGTTTTTATCGTTAACTCGGTTTTCCTGGGTCTTTTCACGTGTGTTATGAATAAATCTTCTTTTTTTCGGTACCGGTACTAGTTTTATTTTGTTGTATTTATCCGTGACACCTTAAAGGTCCGTGAAAATATTGTCGGGCATAAACCGGTCCGTGGTGCAAAAAAGGTTGGGGACCGCTGGGTTTATGTATACGTGTGCGTGTGTGTGTGTGTGTGTTTGGATGGAAACAGATGCCTCTTAATTCAACTGACCTTCTGAGCTACTGCCCCACAGACGCCACCTGTGTTCACTGCATATAAACAGCCGCTTGTCTCTTTTTATAGACACAAACCTGTGATGCTGATCTTGGCCGACCATTTAGAGGTGCCATCGAGCACGCTCTGTTTGATCTGCTTCATCTGGGTGACATGTGTGGACTTGAGGACGGTGAACACTTCCTGAATGAGTTCAAAGATCTCTGGTTTGTTCCTCTCACGGATCTTCATGCGATCCTTAAGAACCATGATGATATTTTGAGTTCGGTCCTCGGCGCCGTGCTTGGAGCTCTTCTCTGCCGCTCCTGGTTGGCAAGAAAATTGAGAAGTAAAAGAATCAGATTTGTAAACAAAAACGGAAAAAGGTGCCATGTGAGATGAGAAGTGAGCTCACGCTTACTGATCCTGAAATCATGGTGGATAAATTTCTACAATTTTTCAGATGATTTCAAATGAATATCATAACACTATAATAACAACTTTGGTGTATTTCATGAAATATAAGAGGATGCTTTTGCAGGGCTATAAAATGCTGAGTGAAAAAGATGGAAAGAGAGCGAGGCGGATCACAAGAAAAGACAAATGGTTTGTAATATCCTCTCATGAAAACAACGAAAATAGGAATGTAGGAGTAAGAAGAGAAGGAGGAGTGAGGAAGGCTCTGTGCTTGGCACTGACAAATAGACAGGAGAGGAAAATAAATGGACTACATTGTTTTCTATTATTAATAAATATAAATAAAAAGAACTGACACCGCAAAAAGTCTAAAACGGAAACTCAGCAAAAGGGTATTTTCTGCGATCCTTTCTCACTCTCATGTCTGTAATCATTAAAGCCACATTCACACACTTCATATATCACTGACAGATGCATTTATGACAATATGGGCAATTAGTTAAGACGCTTCAGAGCCAAGGAATCAAACAGTGGCCCTCCCAGACAGTGGATTACCCACTCTACCTCTTCTAAATTCAGCTGAATATCTAACTGATCTGAGCCTTTCTGTTCACTGATAGCTGAAGTTGGCATCGGGTCTCTGATGGAAGGCCAGTGAAAAAAAGATAACCTGCCAGTATTAAAAAACTTAAAAATATAATGTTTTTAAAAAAAGTGAAACGATTAAAAATGATAATTTATAAAAGCCAGCCGGAGTTACTGGTTGTATTTATCTGAATTTACACCGTCTTTTTGCGCCAGCAGTGACTGGGAGTGTTTACCCGCTGCACATATGAGCTGCTAAATTTAGATTTCATTGTCACGTTTGTAAACTAGTCACTTCACTTCATTAATGCTTTGGGGGCTGAAATGGAGTGATGCCTCCCGGCGTTCATCTTACTTTGCAGACAGTCGGCGTTGAGTAGATCCTGGCACTTCTCGTGGCATTTCACCCCACACTCAGTACAGCGCATGCCCTGGCGAGCAATACCCCAGAGGAGTCCCTCACATTCATAGCAGTACGTGGGTGTGGTGGCTGTCCACACCTCAAAGTTGTGTGGGGTGGTGCAGGAAATAGGATATATGAGGGCCTGGAGGGTCTTCTTATAGACATGACTCTTCTACAAGGTTGTAAGAAAGATAAGCCCAAGGTCAGCAGAGTTAAAGCTTATGAGCAGTATTTGAAATAATTTAATTAAAGAATATAAATGTGGACTGACCAGTTCTTCATTATGTAGGGTACTTGATGTCAGGGCTGAGGTGATGCCCGCCTTCCTGGAGTTCTGGACCAAGGACTGTGTGATGGAAGAAGGGTGGTCAGTATAATATCTTCTTTAATCGTGATAAATCTCAGAGTAGGAGATTACAGCTGCATATTTTTGTTTGGAGTGACCACTTTGGTCGGTACCAGAAAACGAGTATATCTTCATAACCAACTGCAGATATTTCATAAACAAAAAGGTGCGCTACTCACCATAGCCTGTAGCAGTGAAGTGAAGTTGGGAGAAAAAAGGTAGAAATGTATTAGAAAAAGGCAACAGAGGAGAAAGAGGTTTACACAGAGAATTAAAATTGCAAGAATGGCTGAGAAATGGATGCACTTTTTATGCATATGTAGTAGTTTTGTGAAAAAGCAACAATGAAGCGATTAGGGAATCAAGGGAGACTGGGATTTTTCAGAAAATCTCTGCTGCATTTCCACCTGAATATTAGATTTCTGAATGAAATACTAGTTACTGCTCATTCAGGCAGTGTTCCACTGTGATAAATCAATAGCAGACAGTCTGACAAGTTGTTTGTGTGTGTGTGTGTGTGTGTGTGTGTGTGTGTGTGTGTGTGTGTGTGTGTGTGTGTGTGTGTGTGTGTGTGTGTAAATGAGAGTGATGAAAGAGGTGCACCTGCCTGTCAGTGCATGGTGGGTGTTTATGAGCGTGGCACTGAGCTTTGACTGGCAGCTGATTTAAGAGTCGGCATTATTTCAGCTCCCAGTGCACAATGTGATTTGGCATCAAAGCAACAATTTGACATATCATATGCTAAATATGCTTATTGGCTTTCCTGCTGTGAGTTCGATGAGAAGACGTAACCACTCTGTGCTGTGAAAACAAAAGCTATAGACAGCAGCTAGCATGGATCTGTCAAGAGGTGACAAACCAGCATATCTACAGCTATCAATAGCATGTTATGCTTAAGTTGTCAAACCAAAGTGTGAAACCACCAGTTGAAACTCCTAACAGGGTTAGTCAGGCCTTAACTTTTAGTCTTTAGGACAAGCAAAGTTAAGCTGGCTTATTTAAGAACAGCAGGATCAGTTTTTCAGACACATTTCAACGTTGCTTTATGATGCTTTTATTTGGTAATATGGTATTAAGTTGTAACTATAGCTGTGCGTGTATCATGTGCATTATGTAACTTATTTTCTTTATCGATGCTGAATCGCTTAAACTGATCCCAATGTCTCTGACCATGCTTATGACTGCTAACAGATTACTGCGGTCACCCGCTTACTTTTAACGTGAAAGTTGTGCCTTTTGAAATGTGACTGCAGCACTGAGGCAGACATTTTAAGGCGAATGCTTTCCGTTTCGAGCTAGCATCACCCTAGCTGGGCAATTTTAACACTGCCCAGCTGGTAGTTGCCAAGTATTTGCAGACAAGTCAGCATCTTTGATGCAACCCACTGTCGACTGTGGCAGTCACAGGGAGGTTTTTGGTGCAGCACCCTCTATGCAACCATTTTCCGCCGGTGCCAGGAAGCAACCTCCAGCAAACACTTGGTTACACGTGGTTACCAGATAGCAGTGTTGGGGAGTAGCAGAATACATGTACCGGTACCGGCGTTACGTATTTAAAATACAAAATACGAGTAACTGTAATCTGTTACTGTTACCGTTTAAAAAGGTGGTATTCAGAATACAGTTACTTTGTTGAAATAAAGGGATTACACGGCGGTCTTTTCCTGTTTCATATGTTAGGCCGGTGTCCTGCAGGTTTTAGAGCTCACCCTGGGTCACCACACCTGAATCAAATGATTAGTTCGTTACCAGGCCTCTGGAGAACATCAAGACATGTTGAGGAGCTAATTTAGCCATTGTGTTGGATCAAGGACACATCTAAAACCTGCAGGACACCAGCTCTCGAGGACTAACGTTCCCTACCCCTGCGTTAGGCTGTCCCCTCTCTATTTTTGGTAATTCCACGCCGGCGAAAACTCTAACGAAACACGCATTAAGAGGCTTTAATTCCTGGGTCTCAATCTGGCGGCCCATGTCACCTCTACTTGCGGCCCACATAATGACGTGACGAAATATTTTTAAAAATTATTGTTCAAAAAATGATTTAATATGAAGGCAACAGGTAGAGTGTTACAGGCATAGCCCTAAAGAATGTAGCCTCATGGGCAGCGTAGCCCAGTTGTAAGTAAGCTGTTAAGACTCGACTCTACACTGTGTTCGTGTTTTTAGCAAAGTTGACCCAGACAACAAAGTAAAGCTTGTTTTCGGCTATGAGCCCGACACGGAACCTGACGTATTAGCCAGAGGTCCCTTTACTACGGTTCGGAGCTGCGGACCTGTTTTATATACGCGCGGAATAGTTTTATATACGAGATCGCTGCAAAAAGTGCAGCTTTACCTAATATCCACCTTACTGTTACTCATTTTATATTAAGATTTAAAAATCTAGTTGGCATTGCTATGGCGAGTAACCTTCAGTAAAAGTAATAAATCACAGAGCAATAGTCATTCATGTAGTTGTAAAAAGCATGATAATATATCAAGTAATCCAAAGTATTCCATTACGTTACTCTCATTGAGTAACGTAATGGAATATGTTACAAAATACATTTTGGGGAATGTATTCTGTAATCTGTAGTGGATTTAAAAGTAACCTTCCCAACACTGCCAGATAGTCACCGATTGGTCTTTAGCTCTGTGTGAATTAGGATTAAGCGAGTGATAATAATTAAATGATAAAAAACCCCAAACTGTGACAACCAATGTGCTCTCAAAACCTGAATATGCTTGTGGTTTTCTTTTATTCGCACAGTCCTTAGAATGACATGGAGATACAGAGTGCGTCTGTCTACATTCTAAGAAAAGTGACAATAGAAGATTGTCAGAGTTGTGTTGGTAATGAGATAGTATCAAAAAGGCATAGGGATCATGGCATGGTGGGGTAATAAAGGTCTGTTATATGACAGCATGTAGCAGACATCAGCGTCAGTCAGAGAAAACCTCTGGCCTCTGCCGCTGGCCTCTCTGCCTTGCTTCATGCCCTGTCAGACTTTAACAGCAGGGCAATGCATTTTCTTTAACAGCATGGATGCAGTGGAATAAAGGACAGAGAACAACAGGAGTAAAAATAGTAGAATATTAGAAAAGATCGTGAAAATAAACATAGTAGAGAATCAGACAGAAAACAGGAGTAACATTTAAGGATGAGAGCACGGACTGCTGAGCCAAGTGAGATGGATCTGGGAAATGTGAGACACTTAGTCACGGGAACATAAAGAGATTAGTGCAGAAACTCACCAGATCGCTGACCAGAGGCATTGCTTTTCTCTTCCTGAGGTCTGGCATGCTGTCAATACTATACAGAGCACCACCCATCCTGGAGAGAAAACATACTTTAAACATCGGCTATATTTTCAGCTAACAGCTGGCAGCTAGAACCTTCACTGTGAATAAGTTACAAAATAAATGCACTGAGACACTGGTCTTTCTTTTTGGTCGATAAGTTATAGATTTTCAATAGCTGCAGCGGTGTCAGCCTCATGGTTACTTACCCTGCTGACAAAAGCAGAGAGGCAATGCCAACACTTTCTCCTCGGGCCTGTGGAGAAAGAGAAGGAAAAGATGAGATGGAAAAACCGGGAAAAGTCAGCCTTCCAGAAAACTACAACGCTGTAGTTCCAATTGTAGTTTGTAGTTCGCTCAATGACTGCAGGTGTTCTCAAAGTCATGATTTACAACAGAGTGAAAAAAAACTACACTGTGTGTATTTCTTAGTGAGTGTGGGGATTATTGACATCAGCAGTGAGTTCTGTGTTTGTGGAAGAAGATTACAGCCAGATGGCTATCCGTGTAATCATTTCTCTAATTCTATCTACTCCATTATTGAAAGACATGTTCTTTGTCCGCTTGCCTCTTCAAACAATGACATGCGGCACTGATACTAACGTCACACTATACACAGAAATAGCCCTGATTGATACAAACACCAGGCTTTGGAAAGGACGCTTAACAGACTTGCAACAGCTTCCTATGTGCGTCTTGCGCTCATCATAAATATCTGTGAGCCATACAGATACATACGATACAAATTAGATTTATTAACACACTACAGGGCACACCCACCTGAGAGCCAGCTCCTGCCATGGGTAATCAGAATGGACTACATGCATTCGCTACGAGGATGGCAAACAACTGAAAAGAAAATAGTGAAATGGCAAAAACAATACAGGGGGTAAACAGAAACTATCAAACACAAGACAATATAATCCACAGATGCGACCAAAAACTGGGAAAAATGACAGACTAGTCAACGAAAGCTGGAAAAATACAGAGTAAGAACAGGACATGCAGGGATTGATGCAACAAGGCAATCAGAAGAGCAGCAACAGAACCGCACTCTAAGATCTGTTCCTGCCAATGAAGGGATTCACCTGACAGTGACTGCAAGCAAGAGGACCATACAAATAAACTGAACACACACAGACACATGCTGGCAGTACCTCTTGTAGTTGTAGTCGTACTCTGCTGAAAAGTCGAAGCCAGTTGGCTTTAGCTCTGGCAGGACCGGGCTCCATGATTTCCCTTTTTGGGAAGCTGAAATATGGTTTGAGAAAGAAGTCAGCTCACAATTGCCGCACGCTAAGTCAGTGAAATGAAGAGGTGAGCAACATCTGTTAACCACAAGCATGTTGATTGGTATATAGGCTTTAATACAAAATTATTATTATTCTTATTTTGTCTGAAATAATAAAAAAGTGTGTCTCTCTAAAAATACGCTTTTCCTGGTATGTGAATACATTATTTTAAGTGATTTTATCTCCATACAGTAAGTGGTTGGTTAGTGTTAACTTTAAAATTAATTATTTTGTGCAGGTGTTGTTTAGGCTAATACTTGCTGGTAGGTAATTTTAGCGAAATTGGATGTAAAGGGAAGTGTCTTTGGAGCTGAGACCACACATACTGAGTTGGTGTCAGTAAAGAGTAGTGACCCGTCCTTGTCCCTTTACTGGTGTTTTCATGTGTAGGTCATAGCAACTTGAAGTACATCTATACATAACTACATATGTAATTTTGAAATTTTCCCTTTATAACAATATGCAACTTCACCTTGCAACAGGAGGCTCCTCTTTCTTCTGTTCAAGAGCCAGAGGGACACTCTCTGTTGCCGGAGGAAGCTCGGGGGGCTGAGGTTCCTCCTTTGGCACTTCAGATTTGGGCTCAGGCTCCAGAGGCTTGCTGTCTGGAGCTGGAACCTGTGATGTAGTTGTGGGGGTGGGTGTAGTTGTAGTTGTGCCAAAGAGATCCTGCTGTGTGGGTGCAAAGGGAGGCTTGGTGGAATCTGCAAGAGAAGGGGCCATTGTGCTGTCCTGTGAGACCGGAGGTAGGGCAGCAGCCGTGCTGGGAGACTGAGGCCGATCCTGGGCAAGTCGCTGCTGATGCAGCGACGTCTGCTTCTCCAACGGCGGCCTGGTGGAGGAAAGACCATCAGAAGGGGGCATCAAGGTGGGGGCGGTGCTTGTGGGTGTGGGGGTATAGGGAGGCTCCTGGTCTTCACTCAGTGTGCCATCCAGTGGATACATTTCTTCATCTTCCTTATATGACATCTCCTCCTCCTCCTCATAGTTGTAATCTCCCTCCTCCCCATACATGTCTCCCTCTTCTTCGTCATACAGAGCCCCCTCCTCCCCTCCATCTTTGAGGTAGCCTCCCTCATCGCTGTAGATGCCTTGGTGATCCTCACCATCCCAACCTGGGGAATCTTCCTTGCCGTAGCTGACCGAAGAGTGGCAGGAATGATAGGAGTCGTTCTCATCGTAGAATTCCGAACCTCTCAAGCTTTCACCATCCTCGGGAACGAACTCCTCGCTGAGCTGCGAGCTGCCTCGACTCAGCTCGCCCGACGAAGCGTAACGACTGTCTGTGGGACTGAAGGCAGGGGAAACGAAAACACGTGTTAGATAAGCCTTTGGTTATTAAGTAAACTATATCTATTTCCACGTTTGGGTGTCACAGAGATACTAAAGGAGCTTGTGTTGGGACCGGAAAGGGAGAGAGCTAACCACCAGGAGAAGAGGAGTGACTTTAAATCACACCCAGAATGGGCTTTGGACTAGTGATGCAACTGCAAGGGGACTCATCTGTTTAGTAACAGGAATGCTTACTATGATTGTTAGTTCAAACACAAATTTGTACAGAATCACACGCATACGAAAGCACACTAGATTGCAGAAACACAACGATGCATTTTTCATAAAGTAAACGTTTAAATTGTTTAATTTAAAACAAAAGAAGTTAACCTGACGAGGTTGAGGATAATTTAGCAGACTGGTGGAAAAAAGCAGATAAATTCACAATGATAAATGAAGCCATTAGACTGAATCAGCGAGAGATATGAGACACATAGAAAGATTATTTCCTTAAACACACTCTGACAGACGCACACAAACACCGGCTTTGTTGTTTTCGGCTCTATTGATTACAGTCCTGCTGGTTTAATAATGCATAGTGCACGAACAGTAAAGGACACAAAAGTATGGCTGAATGGACAAATAAATACTCAATCACACCAACCCTCAGTTTTCCTATTCATAACCTATCCTGCAATCTCTCTCTCTCTAACGTCTCAAAGACTAACACAGACAGTGACAAATGCTTGCATAATTTGTGAGTCTAAACACATGTCTGCCCTCTTTCTTCACAAAGAATGTAAAACAAAACATGATGAAATGAAGATGAAAAAGAACGCAATCTGTCTCGGCCTCCCTGCTCGGCCACATTATTGGGCTGACGGGCTCCTGCTGTCTCACAAGTGGAAATTAAATGTGTATAATTACCAAGTATGGGACACCCACAATAAGACAGGGCCCTTCTTAAAGTCTCACATACAGAGTGAAGCTGTAATAACAAGCTGTCATGAAAACAGATGGGCACGCTCACACAGACTCACACGGGCAGTTCTACAAACTCCAACCGACAATTAACCTCTCTGTCTCCGACTGTTACGAAACACCACACACACGCATCCCGCCGATCGCTCACCCACACATGTAAAGACGACACAGCACAGAACTTCTAAAGATTGAGGGGACAAGCGTGATCGTTTGTGATTCTTCACAGGAACACAGTAAGGATAGATGCAGGTTCGGTAGTTTCCTCTAAAATATACAGAATATACATATACAAAGATAGGGTAAGAGCGCATGCATGCAAGCACAGCGAGCGAGGAGGACGGGACAAGTCCACCACTGACGTCACAGCGAGACGGAGTCACAGGCTGGAGCAGAAGGAAGAAGAAGAGGAAGAGGAGGAGAAGTTAGAGACGAGGTACAGAGACCCACCTATCGGACAGCGAGTGCCTACTGTCTAGAGAATACTGACGACTGGTGCGCCGGCTCGACCCTGAGCCTGAGTCGATATCACTGCGCCCGTTGGTGGCCGAGTCTAAACTATCATAGCGTCTGGTAAGAGGAGCAGGGGAGGAGGTGGGGAGGAGGGGAGAGGTGGGAGAGGAGCATCAGTAGAGCTCAGTGCAAATATTGGAAAGACAGCTATAACTCAAACTGAGCCTCTATGTCGCCTGCTTAACGATAACTTCACAAAGTTGTCTTAAAACATCAGTCAGGCGTCCACATGAACATGAAAATATCACTTGCTGTTATTCTTCCCGCCAGCGTTTAATATCTATAAGTGATCCACAGCAGTCCTGGCTCAATCTTAATTTGGAGTTAATATGAGGCTGAGGTTATTTAAACCAAATGCAGATATTCCCGTCATTTCAGTGGGAAATTTCATCTTCTAGGGAATTTTGCACTAATAAGCGAATATCTTTTGAACACGGCCTCTTTGCTCGTCTAAATCAGATTACCGAAAACTCATATTAACTTCAGATGAATACATTTGCACGGGACAAGGAATATGGATTTCACTCATCATTTATACTGGAAGTGGATGGGGAAAGGCTCTCTTTACAGAGAGTATAAAAAGGAGAAACAATAACAGCAAGTACAACCTGCTGAAAATATGAACCTGTCCATTAAGCTTCTGCACAAAGACGTCTCACTGACACTGAGATTTATTATATCCATCTCAGCCTTGACAAAGCAAATGGTCAAACTTTCAATTTAAGCTTTTCTGAGAAATGCATGAGTTTAGAGCCTCTCCTCCTTTCATATATACATGTCTAAAGTGACGACCATTATGTTCAGAAATCACAAGGGGTTTCTGATGCTCACACACTCGACGTGCACACACAGATGCAAGCACGCGCACACTCATTCGCACGTGAAAGATAACCACAAAGGCCCGCTTCATACAAAACCTGTATACAAGAACTCTGCACCCCAGCATGCTTGTATACACTGAGGCCAGGGTTATTCTCTAGAGAAGGAGAGCACAGTGGGACATGTTACTATGTACAACACAGTGCAACAAAACAAGGCCGCAGGGGCTCACTTGTCTCATGGCTATGAGCTAGACGGGGAGGAGTGCTCCGTTTACGAGCAGCGTGATGTTAAATTCACAACGTTAAAACATTTAGATCTTCTGTGTGACCAAAAACTCCTCTCTCTATGTTGCATTTAAACTTTATGGTGCACATAGGCAAAATAAAACCCTGTTCTTCAGTCTCAGTAGTAGTACGCCTGTTACCTCATAGCTCTGTGATCATAGTCCAGCTCATTGATGTCGTCAGTGTAGGAGTGTCTGTGGTGCTGGTGCCTCATGGGATACTGGTGCATGGAAGCATTGGGCTGGGAGGTGGTGTAGTAAGGAGGTGGGATGCTGTTACTGGTCTCACTGCGGTAGTCGCTGTCCCTGTCATCCACTGCGCTGTCTGGGTCCTCGTCTGTTCACCAAAACAGCGGGAGACGGAACGAAGTGAGGTTGGCGAGACAAAAAGATGACGACCATTGAGTACATTGAGTGTGTAATGAAAGAGCTGGGGCGTAGAGAAGGGGGGTGGTCTTGTTTCTTTTCAGATAGTTGAAGTCTCTGCTCAGAATCCAGTTTTTTTTCTTCTCATTCAATCCTAAATGAGAGCCTAAAAATCAGGGGGGAAACATCTGTAGGCCTGTGACTATGTAATTCCCCTATAATTAAATGGAATTTTAATCTATTTTAATTTAAATTACAATGTAACTGTATTGACCTACAAATACTTAAAGATTGTTAGGCTAGAATAAAAGAATAACAAGACACGTTTTTACAGGAAACAGAGAAAACTGTTTTTTTACGGTGGCCCTGAGAGGTCAAACGGACTGCAACTTAAGAAAACACCAGCAATAAGAAAAACGCTGCAAAAGCACACAAAACACAATGGAAATAGGAAAAACGACAACAGAAATAGGAAAAAACAAAACAGAAATAGGAAAAGCGAAAACATAAATAGGAAAAAACAGATTTTTAAAAGCACAAGAGAAGCGTTTCTGGGGAGACAATAAACGGACGGACGAGTTGCAGGAACCCAAAACATGGTAGTTTTATCATGATTCATATAATACTGATGACGGATTTTTAGGCTAATAGTTAGGCTAGCACACTTACCTCTCATCTTTTCTTTCCTCACAAAACCAATAGATCCTCCACTTCTTTTAATTGTCTCCCAGCGCAATTCTTAGCATGTTTTGGTTCCTACAACTGGTCCGTCGGGTTATTGTCTCCCCAGAAACACTTCCCTTGTGCTTTTGGAAATCAGTTTTTTCCTATTTTTGTTTTTGTTTTTCCTATTTATGTTTTCCTTTTTCCTATTTCCATTGTCGTTTTTCTATTTCCATTGTGTTTGGGTGCTTTTGCTGCGTCTTTCTTTCTTATTGCTGGTGTTTTCTTAAGTTGCAGTCCGTTTGGCCTCTCAGGGCCACCGTAGTTTTTGATCTTGTTTTGTAGATTCTGTATAATTATTTTTAAATTGTGAAACTTTTCCCCCACACAGTCTTTTATTAAATGATTCAATCTATCCATAGTATGTCTTCATGAAAGACTGACCTGCTGCTAATAAACCCATACAGCTGTGAGATGTTTGATCAGGTCGACCAGCGGGTTGAAACGATTCGCAAAAGATTCAGATTTTGTGGAAACAGAGTTTTAGACAGTTCAGTGCCTGAGATGCAAGTGGGAGTTATTCAGTTATGTGCTTCCTGTCTCATAATGAATCACTCGAAAATAACTCATCTTTATCTCATCAAATATGTATGCATCCTGAGTTTGGCTAGAGCTGCATTCAATTTCATTTTAACAGTTTGAGGTATTATTGCAAAAGCAAGGGTATGAGGTGAGAGGAAGTTCAGGGAGGATGTGTGGAGAAGAAATACTTTTTTGGCAGTTAATGGTCTCTGAGGAATACTATGCAAGGAGATCATTACATTAAGTGAGACATGGACAATAAATACAGAATTACTCCAAGTTGTTAGCAGAACTGCATGAAAGAAACTTACTTTGTTGATCTCCCCACAGACTCCAATTACCTGCGAAGAGATAAAAGAGTCGGAAAAACCAAATTAGGTTTGGGCCACAAATTAAACACACAAGCAGTCAACAAAACCAGGGTAAACAAACGAGGAGGATCGTTAGCCCTCAGAAATAATTGTTTTATGATGTAAATATGTGTGGAGAGAGTTTATAAGTGGCTGTCTATGTGTGTGTGTGTGTGTGTGTGTGTTCTGTGTGTGTGTGTGTGTGTGTGTGTGTGTGTGTGTGTGTGTGTTTGAGCAGAGAAAAACACAAGGTCTTTAGAAAAAACTGTTTTTAAGGCAGCTGGCCTCGATGCAGTTAGGTAACACACACATCTTCTTTGCACAAACACAAGCACCGTGATGCAAACCAAACCCCTCTCTCCACAGGTCCATAGTATCCACACAGTTATGCACCTGCTCCCAGTGTCACCACTGCCAGACAGGCGGACAGGCGTGGGAGTGTGTCTGACACCCCCCGTATGTCATCTTACATTCATCACGGATCTATCACCTGTAAGTCATTCTAGTGTTCAGGCAGGCATGCATTTGTGATTAATCTCATCGGCTCTCCTTCCTCTCGCCAGCTAACCTTTCCTTCATCTATTAGCTTCATTTCAACCTCCTGTCTACGCCTCTTCTCAGTAAGCTGAGGAGCCAGAGGAGAGGGAGTGGGGAGAGGAAACACAGGAGGCATAAAAAGGGCACAGCAGGATCGGGCGCAGGAGGAGGTAAATGCAGAAGAGGAGGCTGGCGGCACTCACAGCACTGTGTGGATGGTGCATGTAGTGGTCGCTCCTGCTCTTCCTGATAGGCGTACTGAGGCAAAGAAAAGCGGCAACAACAGACGAATAAGGAAACAATACAAAGCAGAAAAAGTTGTGGTAATACAGTAAAGAGTATTCAGCAGAATAAAATTCTTACATCTTGATCTCTCATGGCATTAAGTTGTTCAAGTTTCTTCGCCCAGTATCTGGCCTCTTCCTCTGGGATGTCTGCAGAAACAGAAACACTTGAGATTCTCCACTTGGCACGTGAAATATTGGATGCTACACTGTAAGACTTTGTGCTGATACTGTTTTGCCAAAGTTTAAAGTGAATTTTCTCAAGTTATATCAAAGAGTAGGGCTGGCATTAGAGCGCTAGTTGTATTAGTAGTAGAAGTAGTAATAAAACTGTATCAGGCAACTACTAGAAAAAGTACTAATAGGAATCATGAGACAGTCTTTAGAGTTCTAAAGTAGCAGCAGTACTAATACTAGTAACATTTTTTGAAAAAAGGAATTCAAATTAATACAAAATAAATTAAGCGTTATTATTGACACAACACTGATAAATGTCAAACCTAGTGGCAGCTCAAAGCGTGTGTCAAGCAGCAGCCTATGAAAGGTTGGGTCTTTGGTTCCACAGATCTCGTTCTCAGCCATGATCGCATTGGAGTCGAGGGTCAGCCACTGACCTGGTCCCTCCTGGAAAAGACAGAAGAACAAACATGACTGCAGCAACACTTACTGTGTGATCAATGCGTATTTTGGCATCTCTGCCCTGGATCTAATTTGCTGTCTTCGTACAAATGACCAGTGCCATCAATCTTCTCATCTACGGCTTAATATGTGAGTTTGAGTATGCTAAATTCAGAAATGCTAGTAAGCATTGCCAATAAAACCAAAGGTCTGAGTCAGAAAGATGAATGTGGTGAACCTCATTGGACTGCCGTATGCTGCGCAGGGGGATCCATAAGGTGCCCACCATGGTGTCCCAGATCAGCCCCTTGTTCCACACCTCCACTGTGAGGCCCAGATCAAGGCGGTTTATTTCACTGCTCAGTAGAGATGGCGGGATAAGAAAAGGACAAGCAAACAGAAAAATGAAGAGGAATAAAAAAAGAAGTTAAATACAGAATACTGTCATGAGCTGAGTGGAGGCTTGGGCTGTTTACACAAGACTTTTAGCAAAAATACAGTTTATTCCTCGAGGAGCTGAATTTAATCTGGTGATGGATATGCACCATGATTCAATCTGCTCAGGGAAATGAGTCATTCAGCATGAAGATGGAAAAGCACAGGTGACAGTCAGCCAGGCTCCCGACAACATATAAGTGACTGCACAGACAGAAACTATCTATATTTATGTGTGATAAACAACAGTGAACTCAAAAGCTCATATACAGCTAACATTTGTAATGCAACTACGTATCTGGCTTGCAGGTCATCAGCTCACTATGCATCTCCCGTTACTGAACAGTGATGCTCCTAAGCTAGGTTTAAATGAAGAAAAAAACCTAATAATGAGCGTAAAGTGCTTCCTTAGGAGATGAACACATCTTCAGGTGACTTTGCTGGATGGTGTGCTGGCCCTGAAAGCTGAAAAGTAGAGGAAAGCCCTTCTTTAAAGATATTCCTTACATTTAATTTAGCACCATGACTGTAGCAGAGTTTTTCTGTTGGATTGATATTCTGGAGTTTTAAGGTGTTAATAAAGCTTGAATGGGGAGAAACTTTCATGACTAGAAGTGTGAAATCTGCCGGAGCAGAGCAAACAGCAGCAGAGGTGTTATTTCATCCCATCACTCATGAGTGGAAGGGAGGCAGAATGGCAGCAAAAAACAGAAACAAAAAAAAAAACTGCGACACAAATGTTACAGCTGACTCCCACAGCACCCTGATAACATCAATTTCACTCCTCACGTGGGTGAAACTGGACATCACGCAGGTTAAAGACAGCTTCATATTAGATGTCTGAATTCTCACATGCACGTGCACCAGGTAATGTCTAGGACAGTTCAGGGCTGCAGAGAAAACGGGTTTAGTTTCACTAATTAAGAATATGTTCACATTATAAATGTCTTATGGAAATAAAACAATAGAGCTGATAGTTTAATAAGGTAATGCAGCTTTGACTCTTAAAAGGTTGTCTCAATTCCAACCGGCAGTTAAAAACATCAACGCCACAATACTGTCCTCGTTTCATGCATTCTTCTCTTTTCTTAAAGCTGAAACTCGTTTTATGACAATCTTGGTTGGAGACTTGGCTGTGCTATATTGGTAGCTGCTAAAGTAGCCACATGCCGGAGAGGTGTGGAAAGTTTGCCTTATTCCAACTTCATTCCCTGGATTTTTTTTTTTCATTGTCAGGACGAGAAGCACTCACAACATGAAGTCCTGCTCCCAACATGGCTGACTGCCACGGACAGCGATGGTTGTGCTCTTAACATTCTGCACCTTCAGGGTCACGTATGTGTTGAATTTCTCTGCGAAAATGAACAGATTCAAACATCGGTCTCGATGACCCCAACGTTTTACAATCAACAGCTTCACGCAGTACATCTGTGACACAACTCACCTTGTGGTCCATCAAGCTTGCCTTTTTTCACTGTGAACAAATTGAGAAAAGAAAAAGGAAATTAGCCTGTCAGGGTTTTTTTGTGTATTTTTTAAGAGATCATATTCCATCATCGGATCTCAAAGGCTTCATCCTGTGCTTGCAGTGCGAGCCTCTGCCTGTAGCTCATGTGCATCAAAGTATGGTTGCTTGGTGACTGACAGTAGTCTGGCATTTTACAGAGAAAGTGTGAGGTCTACAACTAAACTTTGCTCTTTGAGCAGATGCCAGGCTCTCAATATGAAAGACTACATCCGTTCAGCAGGAGACGTCAGGGTCTCTGAGTGACTTGTTGGATGGACAGATGGCCTGAACGATACCCGCGTGTTTTCCATCATGCCTGTCAACACAGGCTGATGGATAAAACACTGAACAGTTCTGCGGTTTATTGTACACAACAGACGAATCTCTGCTGAGGTGCCACAGCCATTTTCTCCACGCAGGGTCTACTGGAGGTACCCAAATGACTTTTAAAACCACAGTGACGTCAAAAGCTTATTCATTATTCATTTAGTCTTGCACCCTGCCGATTCCCATCATCCCCATGTTCAAGAGTGAAGTATTAATATTCAGCGGACTGGTATTTAATCCCTGATGATTGCTTCTTTTCACTGACGTTAGGTTTAAAGAAAAAAATACAGGCTACTTAAAATCTATCTAATGGAAATTCAGCAACATGCACGTGTGAACGGATGTAAAGAAGAATTTCTTTATATTGCACAGCCTACAGCCCGACTCACTAATATAGAGGAGGAAAGTAAATAGAAAAAAAAAGGCAAAAAATACAGTTTCAAATATGATGATGACAAAGAAAGACACCGAGTCATTTACTTAGTCAGTGACAGAGAGCAGGCGCGATAATCATTGTGGAAAAATTGGCTTCTAAAAATAGCATCACCCCAGGAAACCCCTGGGATCACTCTTATCACTTAAATATTATTCAGATTCAAGAAACCAGTGCCAGAGTAGGAAGTGTCGTGAAGCATGTGTGTTCTTAGCCAACATGAAAGTAAAGTCTCCTTCCTGATATTTTAGCTGCTGACAAGGCAGTCGTGCCAAAGGGGTGAGGAAGGTTCACTGCACTGAACATGCATTCGACAAAGACGAGCTCAAATGGGTACTTTGCTTTTAAGTAGGCAGTAATTGACAGATGCACCTTCGGCTGCACCCTTGCCAGCACTCTCTCTCTCTCTCTCTCTCTCTCTCTCACATATACAGTCCTCTCCTCACCAGCCATCAGTCCTCTCTCCCTCTCTCTCAGTCAATCACTCGCCCCTACAAGCTTCTCCTGCCATGTGGTGAGTGTGCACGTGTGTTCCCTTTCTATCTCTTTCTCTTGTGCTCCATTAATCTCTCTGTGGAGCCGGATGCAGGCAGAGTGAGCTGCATCCCCAACACTAAAAATAACCACTTCAGTGTGACAGGGGTGGGGGGGTGCTGGAAAGTGGAGAGGTGTGTGTGTGTGTAAGAGCTGGGGGAAGAGGGGTGGGGTGGTGGAGGGGTTACTTGCTCACAGGCATGAGACTAAACCAACACTGCTGTAGCTAGTTACTGCTGTGGTGTGGGTGAAAAATAAAGAGAGTTACATATTTTGTGCAAAACCTCCACAGAAAATGTTGAGTCGGTGCCACGGTGATTACAGGATTTCATTTTCTCTTTCTTCACTCGGGGAAATTGGACAAATACTTTTACTCCTGCCCTGGTTCAGAGGAGCTAAAGGGGCTTTTTATTTCTTTTTATTTCATCAGAGCCATTATACTGACACCAGCAACAGCAATATCAGCCTGTAGTACTGAAGAGGAAGCGCACAGAAGGAAATTACAAATATTATAATTAAAAAAGAAAAGAACACTGATTGAATGGGCATTCATTAAAAAAAAAAACAGCTTGCAAGTCTAAAATAATTGGTGATTAAAGCTCATCCCTGTTTTCTAAATAATATTCAGTCACAGTGACCTCAGTGCAACTAGAAGTTGATGGTCTATTAATAATGTTAACTAGTAAATAAGGTCTAAGTAGCCACTAATGTCTACCTCAGGCTTTCAAGGTGGCTATAATTGAACCAGTACTTAAAAGCTTTTACTTGAGCCAGACGTCTTAGCCTTTAGACCTACAAAAGAGTGGCTGTAAAACAGCGGGCGATCATGTGCAGTATAATAGGATAACTGAAGAGTTTCAATCAGTTTGCAGAATTGATCTTAGCACTGAAGAAGCACTGGTGACGGTTACGAATGACCTTCTTAGGGCCGATGGCTGATAGTGGACTAATTTTTGTGTTTCTGCTGTTAGCCCTCATTTGATACAGTTGAGTGTAGGATTTTAAGAAATGTATATGTAAATGGGGAGTCTTGGAGTTCCACAGGGTTCTGTGCTGGGACCAATTCTATTTACATTATACCTGCCTCCCTTAAGCAATGCTAACAGAAAACACAGAATACATATTCATTGCTATGCAGATGATCTTCAGCTTTATTTATCTATGAAGCCAGATGACATTAAACTACATAAAGGGGTGGTTGCTCTGCAATTTTTTTTCTCCCAAACCCAAAAAACTGAGGCTGCTACATTTGGTCCTAATAGCCTTAGAAACCAGAAACCAGTATCTGTCAGTATCTGGTCAGACACAATGTTTTAGGCGAAGGTATTAGTAAGTAACAATGTGATTATCAAAAATGCTGCAGTGAGACTGATAAGTGAGGGAGAGAGTGAGAGAGGGCTTATTTCTATTTTCTTTTAGAATTGAATTTAGCAGTTTTTATAGTATCTTGAAGACTTCATAGCACAATATTATCCTTTTAGAGTGATTCACTCTCAGACTGCAGGCTTACTTGTGGTTCCTAAAGTTTCTAAAGGTAGAATGGGAGGCTGAGCCTTCAGCTTTTTTCTGTCTTCTGTGGAACCAGCTCCCAGTTTGGATTCAGCAGAGACACCCTCTCTGCTTTAAAGGTTAGAATAAAACCTTTCCTTAATGTTTAAGCCTACAGTCAGAGCTGGATCAGGTGAATTAACCAACCTGTAGTTATGCTGTTATAAGTTTAGACAGCTGCAGCACTTCATGTGATACACCGAGCATTTCTTCTCCACTGACCTCTCTTTTACTCCCCACGCGTTTATATATGCCTGCAGCATGCCATTAAATTTGTGTCTTCTCTCCTTTAGCCCATTGTTTTTCACCTGTCTCCCTCTGCTCTCTTTTTCTTTTCTCTTCCTCCTCACACCCCCACCCAGTCATGCTTTTGTCTTCCCACCGCTGCAAAGTGCTAGCTCGTAGGTTGTTTGATTGCTGGGGTTTTCTCCAGAATACTATAGGGTCTTTATCTTACAGGAAACCTTACAGTATAATACCTGCAACAAGAATTAGAGTGCCATTATGCTAAATGCGTTGAGAGAGCACAACTGCCAGTCAGCGGTTTAAAGATTATATATAGCATATACAAGACAGAGTATCTACAGCCTAAGCATTGTTATCGACAGAATGTGAATGCTTCATTGTAACTGTTGCACATACTTCAATTAATAAAAAATTGCCCTTCGCTGTCATCTTTTTTTGCTATGATTGCTCCTGATCTTTATTTACAGTACAGTAACATAGCAGTGTTTTCGAGACAGTAAAAGACAAATGTAGTCAAGGTTTATATGGTGCTAAATCATACAGTAATGCTAATGAGCGCATGTGCCATGGCTCACTCATTTATAGAGCTATAATGCCTGAATTTGCATCTTGCTACAAAGCGTGACAGTAAGGATGGCTGCCATCTACTTACTCAGCTTTTGTAGCACAGTCCATCATTTCACAGACCAGGTCTAACATCATGAGACACACACACACACATCTCAGCAGACAAACTGTGTGACTGCTGCAGTCCAGCATGACAGCCCAAACTGTTCATCCCATAATTCTCTATTCTTCTCCCATCCACCATGAAAGGAAGAACATAGTATCAATATTAACCTAGCTGCAGGCCTATTACAGTGTGTTTAGAAGCTAATGAGAAAATGCCAGCAGAGACCTAAAATACCAATGGGGTTGCTATGCCAACAAAGCTTCAGGACATAAAGGGACCACCAACGAGCCTGAATCTCAATCCTGACATCTGTGCAATCAGCTCCAGCACTGGTGTCAGCAGCAAAGCAGCCTCTTTGCAAACACTAAGAGCCTGTTCTAACCTCTTGTTAAATCTCAGGAAGACACTCGAGGAAATCCTGTTTTTCATCTTTTCTTCACTAACCCTTAAAACACAAAGCTTATCAAGCCTTTCAGAATTGGAAATGCACCAAAACTCTGGAGAGATTCTCTGCATAGCACATATTTGATCCTAAGCATTAGAAGTATTAAATAGTTATAAAAAAATATTTGTAATAACAGGAAAACTCATATCAATTCAGCGAGAAGTAAAAGGAGCAGCAGTATCCAGGAAGTGGCTCACGACAGGCAGAGATGTGCAGTTTCAGCATGCATTCAAATAGATAGATATTAGATTACATAAACTTGTGGTTCTCCCACAGCTGTAGCTGCAATTATAATGCCATCTCTAAAGAAACCAGTTCTTTGGATATGTTGTAAAGACATTGTTGTAAAAAACATGAGAAAGTTTTTGTTGTTGGGAGGGAGAGCAGAAAACTTTTAAAAACTCTTAGGAAAAATGTCATTTTAAGCACAAATCTCACACAAAACATAAACTTTGAGTTCCTTATGTAGGGGGAAAAGGAAGTGCTCAAATTCACTCTCCAAATTTTAGCACAAGCAGACTATCCAGTTTCCAACTGGAAAGCTACGTGGGTAAATTTGTATTTACGAACAAGGGATTTACATTTCATCAGTTAAAAAAAGAAATAATGTATTAATAAATGAAGATCTGAAGTCCTTTCCTCATACAAAATGCCTGAAATGAAGCCCCAAACCAGCCAAAGCAACATTACTTTACACATGTGACTTCCTGTAAATGCTGCAAAGGTTTTACAGCAACAGAGTGACAGCTGAGGTTTTATCGACACCTCACTGACAGCCTTTACATCTACACACCAGATTTCTATTTTTACAAACATCATAGACAATATTAAAGACTCTACTGAATAAGTGCATTTAATGACCCTTTGGGTCTTTAAATAACAGGAAACAATTGGAAAAACTCGCAACGTTTAAGGACGGATTGGGAGAAATGGAAATTTTATAGCATTGCAATGAGTCACGTGGTTAGGGGAAATCGTAATGTAAAGAAACCCAGCAGCCTAATGGAACACGCCTTTTTGCAGAGCGTATTTATGTGTGGAAACTGAGAGAGGGATCCATTCGACATATTTAATCAAAAAGCTATCACCTTTTATAAAATAAAGAATAAAACACTCCTTACAGGGACGAGCAGAGTGGATATCGTCTTGCTTTACTATGTCTGACAGTAGCTGCCAGAAGCATACGCCTACTACATAAATCGATCCGGTTGTAGCAATGCCAGCTTTTGTAAAAAAAAAAAAAAGAAAAAGAAAAAGAAAAAAAAGAAAATCAAAGGAAAAAAAGAGGCTGGACCGTTAGCATGGACAGCAAGAGGAGTGCAAGATTTCTGTATATATTTTAGCGAAAAAATTCAAACTAATATGCAGGTGATGGGAAATATTGCCTCATAGATTGCTATTTGCATCGAATGATCATTTAACAGCCCCAGATTTTTTCCGTAATGTTATCTGCAGGAGGTGGCTATTGTAAAAGTATCACCAGCAACCCTCCAAAAGCTGTAAAGATACTACTGGAGCTATGGAAACTGCTCACATCAGCAGGTCAAGGAAACGGACAGCAAGTCAAGCCAGCGCACGGACTGTTAGTTTTTCTCTTACCTCCAACACACAGCAATGACATCTCTTATTTGCGCCTTTAGTACAGGATCCAGCTTCCTAACTGGCAGAGCTAATCTGTGCAGTATACAGTCCGGGGATGAATGGCTGGGCGGGAGATGGAGAAGCCTGCCGTCGCCAGCGAGCAGGACCAGAGCCCGACGGGATTCGCTACAGCTGATCAAAATGAAAGTTTTCACAGTTGCAGGGTGAACGCCAGCTCCGCCGTCCTGTCGCTCTGGTTTGAATGAGCTGACTGCTTATATCTGAGACTCTTTCACCCCTTCGCTCTCAGCTCTCCGGTCCCCAACACACAGCCATCTTGTTCAGCTTCAGCACCACCGCTGCGTGGACAGCTCCTGGCAGTGACGTAAGAGCGCGTGGTGGTGGTGTGTAAAGGTGGGGGAGGGGAGGGGCAGGGGAGTGAAATCCCCGATTATTAACTTCTAACTTTACACTTTGGACATTTTTGGAAAAATACAGTAATGTGCAGCCCACTCGAGTCTCCCTTCATTTCTTTATATTGGTATTGGGGGGAAAAAGAAAAGAAATATGTGCAGCAATTTATTTAAATATTGGCAAATATTCCTAATATGGAAATTCGGTATGTAAGACAGAGTTTGACCACTTCTAATGAGATTGAAAGTCAATATTTGGATGTTGGCTGCTTTTGGTTCCCACACTACTTCAATAATGCTGAGGCTCTGGGGGGGGGGAATCCATGACTGATAGTGTTCCACTGTGGGTTTTAATCTAGGCGTGGATTAAAATTGCACTGGGAGTGTGTTTGGGATCCCTGTCATGCTGAAAAATGAAGCCAATCACATGTTTCCCAGATGGTATTGCATGATGAATCAAACTATGACAATTTGGATTCATCACTCCATCACACCCATTGGCACACATTTATTTTCAGTCCAGTTCTTGTATATTTTGGCGCACCTCAGCCTTCCCTCCCCGTTTCCTTACCTTAAGAATGACTTCTTCCTTCCACTGAGACCGTTTCAGATGAGGCTTCAATGAACAGTAGATGGATCGGCTGAAGGTCCAGATGCACATCTCAGATCTTGTGTCAGGTTTTTGCTGGAAGTTTTCTTAAGGACTTTTAGATTCTGTTCATCCGATATAGATTTAAACCTGGCACTTTTTCCATGTATATACTACAACGATTTTTAAGGAGACACTGCACATCATGCTGAGATGTGCCAAGTTTTTGGCTAATAGGAGTTTGTGAATCACCTAGTTGATGAAAAAACACTTTTTAAAATATTTTTCATAGATTCAGCTGAAGAAATGAAGACCTGTTGCGTTTGCAGCAGGCAGACGGACTAAGAAAGACAAGGACTGGACTGAGAGTGAGTGAAAAAGCAGCCAATGCCCCAAAACTTTAAAACTTTCTCTCCAGAAAGGCTGGCGTTGCATTGCTCAATGCACTTTTAAAAATGTCAAAAACATTTGTTGCCTATGAAGCAAAACATAAAGAAATGAAGGGTGACTCAAAACATTTCCATTCCATTGGTTTATATTAATTAGCATCACCTATACTATTACTAATGGCAAATAGTGAAGAAAAGGTGTAAACAGTAACACATTCATCTGACCAGATTTTTCATAAAGTTGAATTTCTTTGACAAAGTCAAGGCTCACAGCAGAAAATGGAAATCGGTGCCCTTTCCACAATCGCCTGCATTATACAATGAGCTGCAGATGCTTATAGGTTTTCTAAAACCTTCCCCTTTATGTGCAGACAAATGGATTCAGTAATCCTTTGATTTGTCTGGGCACATGAAAAGCCTTGCATTGTTAAAGTCGGCTTGTAGAAGAATGTAAACACAGGTTGGCTTTGGCCTTCCTGTATTTAGGTATCATTACTGTGCTCTCCCTTTCTGGTAATGGGACTCCCCTGCTGCCGACCGGTCTGCCGTCTCTGCACTCTGGTTAAAAATCAAATCCACGTCACTTTCAAAGACCTCTCTGAGTGCTGTTCTTTTCCAGAGTACAGCCTTCCTACAAATTACGTGGTTATAACTCCATTCTCAGAAACTCCCTGCAGATTTCAAATCAAATAAAACTTTTATGGACCGCCAAATGTCTTGCTACACAGCCTGAGAGCATACAATCACTTGTTCAAACCAGCACAGATGGATTGTGTATTTCTGGACTGGAAGCAGAAGAGACTTTGTTGTGCTGGTGAGCTTAACATAGAAAAGATAAATATGCTTTATACTTCCAGCTCCACAGTAAATATACCCATCCTCATCTTTTTTAAAATCCACGTTCAATTTTGTGATTTGTACAGATGAATGTATCTAAGAGTTCACAATCGAAGCAGCGTTTTTATGAATTACTCAAATGAAAAATTGACAGATATGTGACACACACACTCACCCCTTTGTCATGACATCTATGACGTTAGTAAATATTGATCGTTTCAGGAAGAACTGGGCATTTCAGTGTCAGATGAAATGTGGGAGGAAAGCCTGGTCTTCCTAACATCACAAATTTAACGTTCAGCCAAAGTGTAGTTAGGCAGCATTATGGCCACGATGACAGCACAGGTGTCTCTCCTGTCCATCAAAACTGTCTCCAGTGCCTCCGTGTTTCTTTAATGTTCCCATCTTAAGATGGGAACAGTAAAGAAAATTCATCAAATACTTCAAGATGGGCTGGGAGATGGTTTTGACGGTGCTTGATTTTCCCCTTTCCTCTGCCATTAATAGTTTGAGATTTAAAAATTTCAGAGGTGCAAAAAAAACCCATCCACTTTAAGAAGGTAGTAATTAGGTAAGTTGATTTAGTGTGCCCGACTGGAAGCACATCAGCTGTTTGTGACCAACTTAAAAATCTAAATACCAGAAATGATGACGTTTTTAAACCTTGGCATGACACTCGCAAAATATGAAGCACGCCTCAGTGAAGCTAGTCCAGGATTCAGCTGCTGTTGCTGTAACCGTGTGTGGGCCCACATCTCCCTCTGCTGGGACGGAGCTTCCCCTGCATCATTACAGTTCCTCGTTTTAGTCAGTGAATGTAACAAAACCATGTCTAATTAGTTACCTGCTGTGGGGTCTACCTCTGCAGGTGTGACGTGCTGTTCTGTTATTTGTTTTAAACACGAGGCTGTGCACTTTAAACAATTTATGTCAACAATAAATGTGCATAAATTCTCCATTTTCAGAATGGTTTAATGAACATCTGGAAAAATACAAATATTCAGTTTTCTGACAACATGGCAAACAAACTGTCCATTTCAGAACCTGACATTATCAATAGAAATTCCACCATGCATACTCACCCCTTTCCAGTTTTTAAAAATAACTACTTATGCATCCCTCCGCCAAACACACGCCACAAATCATTTACAGTAAACTGATAATTCGGCTTGCTGTACACGCCATGTACCTGTAGACGACTACACGATAAGAGGAAGGTGACTCCCAAAAGACTTAATTAAGGCAGCTCAGAAAGTAAAATGACATTTTATTTGATGACATTTATGAATTGTAAAGCCCCCTCAACCCCGCCGCACAGACTTACATTCACAAAATGTATGTGTGGGAATACACACGTCCATACATATTCATAAACTATAGGCATGCAGACATGGATTATGTGTGTTGTTCTGAAGTACCTGTTCCTATCTACATGCTCTGCTGATTGGCAATGATTTGACCTAAAAGCACCAAGCCTCTCGTGTGTCTGTGATCCAAGACTGGGTGTGTCTCTGTCTGCAGCCTCCTCATAACTTCTCACTGGCAAGGAATGAAAACATGTCGTTAGAGACAAGATATAAAGCAAAACAATAAAATGGAGACCCTGGACACGTGCAATTTTTGCACCAATATTAGTGTGTTGCATTTGTTAACAAATAGTAATGCACATATCATAAAGCGTGCTTCATTTTGAAGGAAAATAATATAGTAATTAGTAAATGTGGAGCCCTACAGAGTAGTTCTGGAGGCATTTCAAACACAACCACCTCTGAAGGTAAAAGTTATATTTATAATGTAGACAAATATGTTTAATAACAGCGCACGTGTGTCTAAGTAATGGTTTGAAATTTTAAAAACTGGTTTGTTCACTTTCTTGATGAGAAAACTGACACCATTCATGCCTGTGCAGTAAATGCAGCCTTTAAAGAAGCATCCATGCAAGAAGCGACTATAGAAGCGGCAATTTAGTGAAGCAGGGAAAGTCAACTTCACTTCAAGAGATAAAGGGTGTGACCCGAAATGAATAAACTAAAGGTAAACATACGACAGGCAACCAGAGCCTAAAATGTTTGCTAACAACTAACGAGGTGTAAAAGCGAATTGCTACCTGTGCAGGCGTCCTTTAATGCTACGGTTACACCAGGAAAACAGTGGTTGGAGACAGCCGAATGACTACAATTAGTGCAACCGTGTCCAATGAACTTGTAATCTTGTTGGTTCGAAGTCAGGGATCAGGTCTGCATCACTTGCAATCAGTTTTTCCCTTCAAAGCAACTTTGGAGCACCTAGAAAAGTTGCTTTGAAGATGGCAACAGACTGCAACGTTTGCAGACACGGTCAGGGATAAAAACTTTTGAGATCAGGTTAGCAATTCGATCCGATCTGTGATAATACACTACTAAATCGGCAAAAATCGCGAATCTGTTGCTGTTGCAGACTGGCTGAGTAGCACCGACTCAGATGATTTGAAGACAGGTTGCCTCCCACCAGGTGACCTGTTCTGTCACCTCGAGATCGAAAGTGGTCACCCAGATGTTTTATGGTGGGGAATGCTCAACATCTGGGTCAACAGTTGGTCAAATGTGAAAAAGTTCAACGCAATCACCAGGCAACCACCAGCTTTTCCTAGTTGCAAAGGAGGTTGTCTTATGTTTGCTCTTCTATAAGTGAGCAATAAGGCTGACCAAGTAACAAACAACATTTTGTTTGTTTATATGTATAAAACCCAAAGCAGCTAACCAGCTTTTGGACGTAGCTTCATATTTTTGACACGAACACCTGTGTCGCCACAGGAGGGAGTGTGAGAAAAAGCTCTGGTGTGACATCTGTGACAATAACAGGATGTGATAAGCCAAAGTGTTGAGCTGTTGTCAAATGTGTTTGGCAGCATTAAACACTAAACGCTGCATCTCAGCTGACATTAACACAGACCAGACCACTAACTGGGGGAAAAAAACTGATGGTGTTACACCCAGTCTGAGTCCATCACATTGAATTTCAAGTGTAAAGACTTATTCAAACTCAGGTATAACCTTTTGCTTTCGCAGAGAGCCAGTGTTTGGCAAGCAAATCGATATATCTCTTGGAAGACGACACAGAGTATCCGTTCGCTCCATTACAGCTCCCAGTATTCTATTTTAAATTATCCACCCTATCAGTCTG